ATGTAATAAGCAGCATTTATTACGCGTATTATTGTTATCAAAAGGTACCCCCCTCAGGCTGCTTCTAACTACGATCTTTACATTATGGCTTTGATGCCGGTTGTAATGAAATGTAATCGATGCCCGTCTTTGGAACTAGTCAAGCACATCAACTCGAGATTCCGGTGAGTTAAAGTAAGACACGCTGTTAGTTGTTTCGTTAACCTTGTGCATTCACTTAACAGTTGTCCTTCCTGGACCAAATGTGCTAACCAAGTATTGATTTGTGAAGATGTTATCAGCTGTACTGCGCATCATCCGTGCCATAGCCCATTCGAAGTGCATAACTCAACAAGTTCAACTTACGCTCATCTATTTCTCAATACGGGAATTGTATACTGGGCCGTGTTGTACAAGAACTTTTCCTGCCATCCACTAACATCCACAGCTTAAACGAAAAACATACCTTATTTGCAAAACTGGGTTCAAAGCTTTGAATTGCAGCTTTCAAAGCTTTTAAATCAGAGACAATCTCAACAGATTTCTATTTCCCACCGGAACTGCAGTCAATTTTGTCCATGTTCAGCGATAAATCCTGGCTTTTTTAAAAACACTTGAATTTTTACCACGTTGAGTTGGGTGAGCTAAGGATTTTTTCTACCACACTAGAAAATCGGTTTTGTGAATACGGAGGACCCTCTCCCTGAAAGTGAATCTAACCCTTCATGACAGCTCCACTCCACTAGTAAGGTCAGCTTCGTATACGCTGTCATACCTAGTTATGTGGTATGCTTTTTCTTAGTGCCAGATGCCTGAACTCTTCAGATGTTCATAGTACATGGCTTTGTAAAACACGTGTTAATTTCTCAGACCTTGACAGTGACACTACGCGCCCAGAGACAAATTCTAAAAGATGTTTTCTGCTTATCCTCTTTTTCTCTGTGTTAAGGAGACAGCTAATAGGCTTTCCGCTGACACAGCTATTTTTCTTGTAGATAGTGCCCAAGCCACCCGCAAAATGCACCCATTGATATACAAAACTGGCCTCTACGGAAGATTTAGTGGAATCCTGGCTGAAACCCCCGATAATAATGTCCTTCAACCGAAGTTGTTGCAGAAAGGCCACATCACGTTTTATTTGGTAGGATATTCAAAATTTGTCAACATGATATCCTGAGGAACTTCTGTGAACAAAGTTGCCGCTTTACGGCACATTCGGCTAAAAAATATTACAAACAGGAGATTTCGCTGGGATTTATTCGGATCTCCTGTTAAAACTAAGTTGTTTTGCAATCGTGTGTACTTCGCAAACTCTGTATAATACGCGTTCATGTAGAACATGAGATTGATGAAAATTCGTGGACATCACCTATCTGATGACGTTGGACATGGGCAAACTCAGTCGTACGTTTCCGAAGAAAATTCAGTGACCCTGTGAGTAGTGCTTCTTCAAGGAAGTCGTCTGGGCTTTAAGGCGTGCCAGTGCACTGAAAGTTTCCCCATGGTTTCCACAGTCATATAAGCCGCGAAATTTGATCGAATATCCGAGGTTCGACCATTTCTATAGGTTTCTTCTCCCATACCAATGTACGGTTGGGCCAAAAACCCTAGAACTAAATAAGAGCCAGATTGCCACGGTAAGCAATATAGTAGGTCGGTGTACACGTGGAACCTTTGACCTTAAATTTGGGGACAAACATTCTGCAAAACTTCCGAAACTGACTACTTCAGTGGTTGAATAACTCAATGCTTTAGTTAACTGGGGATTGGCTGGGTCGTTCCATCTCGTAAAGCTTCGGATCATTAATATGGACCTATGAAAATACTGGTGAATCTTGCTGGAAGAAGGAACTTACACAAAGTGCACTTGGTATGTATACCCAATCCTGTCGGCAACAATATACTAAACTCAAGCTTGGCCTGATATAGCTACCATAATCTTTTGATCCACTGGTCACCAAATATGTTCTATGTTTCTCCTAGGCTATCATTTTATAATAACTCTGTTTAAAACATACAAGGTCGCTTATTTGCTATATCGCTCATCTAATCACACCCCCATACAATCGAAACTCCCGCTGAGTCGAAATATGCCCACCGTGAGCAAATCCCTCAACTATCTCTTAAAGGTCATGCAAAAGCCTCATTATCTTCGCATTTATACTAATACAATACAGTATTACTCATGGGCATCACACCATCCACAAATTTCATCTTTGGATCAGATTCTGTCGGCCTCAAACTCCTCTTTTTTATGCTTCTCATTCAACCTGTGCGTCTATACTAATACAATACAGTCTTACTCATGGATGGGCATCACACCATCCACAAATTTCGTCTTTGGATCAGATTCTGTCGGCCTCTAACTCCTGTTTTTTATGCTTCTCATTCAACCTGTGCGTGGACCTACATTTCACTCCATTCGGAACAGGTAAAGTTCCCCTTTACAAGAGCTACGAATTACGAATGTCTAACGGTCTACTGCGGAAGCACATCACATCGTCCCTTTTACCCTTCTGCTGTAAGTTGTAACAAGGCCATTATTGACATCGGCACACGAAGATCGGGAATCGCTGCACCCAAAAACCTGTCCGGATTCCGAGTAAGTTATAAGCAGACTTCTTTTTCCAGTACCCGATGTGAACCGCCTACATCAGTGTTCTGTCGTATGGTACTCCAAACAACCATCTTTATAATTCATTGCGTAATCCCTGTAACCATCTTCGCTGTTCATACGCTTCCGACATCTCAGAAACCATCTTACATTTACACTTGCCAGCCAGTCCTAAGGTATCCTGCGAGAATGATTTAATTTTACTGATTGGCAACATTTTCCTTCCCTGTATGAATGAATAAAAAGTGCCTCGGGAAGTGTTGATTTTAGGTTTCTCTTACACGTTTTGCGGTGGGAGTGAACGCGCAAAGTGGATTCGTCTCGCAACTTTGCTATCCCTAAAATCTCTTTCACCATACAACAAACTATCTTATCGACCGGAAAAAGCAGACAGTTCTTGATTCTTACCATATTATAGTGGTTTTCGCTTGAGTTCCCAGATGGTTTCACATAAAAATTAAAATGCTTTTGTCTATTGGCTAAAATTTCGGACCAATTGCGCTGTCATTTTTGTACACTGGTTATCAAAGATTCCCTCAGTTTACAGCAAAAAGGTGTATGCATATGTCGATACTCAGAGGTCAGGTTAATGGATTTGAATCTTATGAATCCTATTTTTTTTTAGTTTTTTATGCAGTTCCTCACCATCATAGTGAAACGGAGAAGTCCTAGTGACATTCAAGGGACTGATCCACCGTGTTGCCGCAGCAGAATTACACGTTTGCTCTTTTGTGTGACACCGGGCTTTATTTTGATAACACAGTTCTGTGATATGCAAACTAAGTTTGAGTGAGTCTTTGACCCGATGGGAAGGTTTATAGGAAAATACATTCTTATGGCAAGGCACAATTTTCCCAATGCATATTGGAGATTTTGGGTTGTGGTGAATACAGTGAGAAATCGGTTACGCCGAACTTAAAGAAAGTGACAGAGAATTGGTTTGAAAAGCGCACTGATTCTCACTGTTATGCCATCATATTCTGCAAGGCTGAGAGTTCTCAACTGGCATCTACGTATCCACTGGTCAGATTTCCTTAAGGGTTACGCTGGTATCAGGTGTAGGCTCGTGGTACCACAATCACCTTTTTTATTCCGTCATCTGTTCACCAACTATTGGCGAACCAGTCGCTATTGATGACTGGTAGATCACTCATTGCTGACTCATATACATTTCAAATTCAGTTCATCGAAATGGACTTGTGTGGAGCAATGTTTCCGTTGGTGTGATCGTTCCATCAGCTGATTCGCAGCAGAAATAACTGAATAAAATCCAGAGTACTAGATGGGTGATATTTGGACTTGAAAGATATCAGGTAAACTGCTGAGCTCGTTAGTGTAAGACAGCTGCTGACCTCAAGGTACCCATGTGGGTTAGATCTGGGTCTTGCATTTCTATTGCCAGGACCCAATCCTTATGGATGGCATCCAAATGGCTTCAATTCTTCCGTCAAGAGTGTCCGTAGATGCGGTGATTCATAAATGAAACGCAAAATTGTCTTTTTTCTAATTTTACTCCGCCGTCCCATATACGACGTCGTATGGGAATTAATAACCCATGAGTTGTATCAAGTTTTGCCACGTGACACTCGCACAATGACGTCAATTATTTGTGAAGCTCAAAAGTCATAATCTAGCGACTCTCCGTATTCCAGTCATAAGTTTCTCGACTGTTCAGTTTCGAAATGTTGGACTACTCGAGTTTTCCTAATATAACGATCGCCGATTTGAAAATGGACTATTGAGCCGGTCTTAAATTGGGTTCCCTTACAAGCACTTTTTAAGGTTTCACGCTTAGCACGGGTCTCGGCTTTCTCACTCAGCGGAACAAAAACTTGTGGGTGTATATGTTTGTGTTGTGCCTACCAGGCTCTCCATATTATGCTATGAATCATTTGAGTGCTGATTTATCTCATCCGGTTAAAAGCATCAGCCACAGTTTTATCACGAGAGCTATCTGCTTAGTAGCTGCTATGCACGCAAATATTTAGTGATTTTATCCCATCCAGCAAAAGGAAAGAGGCTGATGCTCTGTGCATACGCACTTATGCCGCAAACCCTAAGGCCAGCTACCTACTGTCACTATTTTTGATTTCGGTGAAACTGACGCGAGTTTCATCAACGCGGTATCACAATTAAGGTTTTGTAGTAATGTACACAGAAGGGGTTATGCTGGGATAACGCAAGAATGAATGACCATCTTGAAAGCGTGCTAAAAATGGCGTGCAGTCAGCACTACCTGGTGAAGCGCGAGCGATCATCAATATCCCATTCACCTAAAGCCGAATGGGAAAAGTAGGTAAGAAAATATAATTCTGTTGGCAATTTTATCGAACTTTTATAAATATATGCGGGTAAACAAGTTTGGAATACTGTGAGGAATTACGATAAACATTTCCAAAGCAAATGTTCACGGATACGTTTGCTGCTTCCCCAGGCACATTTGTTCACAATGTGCCTTCGTCACGAAGTTGTTTCCATTCCCGTTCTTTCCGGCAAATATGAATGGCACGCACTCTTGCGTTTCAGAATTGAATCCATAACGCTGCGATCCCTTATCACAATCACCCTGTTTGATATTGTAGGAGCAATACTCTGGAAACCGTAAGAAAACAGGCGTTTATGGTTTTTCTTTGTCAGCAAAAAACGTGAATAAAAAACTCTTCATCGCGTTATGAAAAAGTGAAAAAAATCCTGGACGGCAACAATACGAAGGTGAAATGAGAGGAGGCTACTTCTGTCTTACCTTAGAAGCTCCCTGTTATCCCAATTTTATTGCTTCCTTTATGTTTATCTGGAATAATTCCAATGAACCAATTGTCTTCAAGACCATTTTTTTATCCCACACGGAAATTTTACTTTCGTTGTTATATTTGTCGTGGAATATTCCAGACCGAGCACCCAACTGCAGTACGAGATGTCGTTACCTCGAGAATCGAATAAAGTGACTCAATATGCTCCCGTAAGATTACCCATTTGAACTATTTTTGGCTGTTTTTTGTGTGCGATGCTGCTAGTTATGGTGGATTGCAAATAGACTTTATTAGCAGGGTTCATCCTAACTGTTCCTTATGCGATTTTTACGAAAGAGTACTTCTTTGTTCTATTATACGATGTGCACACGTGAGAGCAAGCATTCCAGTTTCCGTATCATGAATATCCTGATTACCGAAAGTTACGTTTTTGAAGTTCGTTCGAATGCTCACCGCCTGGGAATTCTGTTTTACAAGGAATAAAAACAAATTCCAATACACGTTTCAAGTTTAACTGCTAAAATGTGATTTCTCGTTGATATGTAATTTCTTCTCCTTCAAGGCCCGCAAAATTGTTATCTACAAACCCATAGAGGAGCATTAGACTTATTACAGGCGTATTGAGCGCCACAAATAATGAGACTCGTAGCAAATTCCAAAGCACTTTCTAATGTAACCGACCAATTGCGTTTTCAGCACATGGTGTTTTGTACTTGACTCTCAGTTCCCAGGGGTTCGGCTTTAGAAAAACAATTAATCCATTATGTCGAGTTCGCGAAAAAGACAACTAATGGCCACCTTATTTTCTCCAAAAGAACTTGACGTTTTACATACTCTGAACCCAAGGGGCCTACTTAACAAAATTAAAAATCCAACCTCTGTAAAACCGTGATGTGTTTTGTTAAAAACAAACTTACCCGCTGGTTTGAAAGATTCTGTTGAACCTATGAGAAATGTAACAACCGCTATTACGAGACTGCTGCGACAGAGCTGCATGGTGTACACGAAAAGACAGTGGGTGCGTCTGCTTATATATTTATCAAGGAGAATTCTATTGGTGGAACTTCTGCGTTACAAATTTCTGAGAAAGGGTCCCGTGTTGTGAACACTAATCAAGTGTGCTGGGCAGAAATATTTTTGTCAGTAAAGAGGTACGTGCACATGTAACGCTCAAGTAGACACCAGGAACTCCAGTCGTATTGCGGGATGAAAGCGGGATTTCTAGGAAAAAACAAGAAGTAGGAGTTGTAGAAAAATAAGTTGAACAAAGGATAGTCTTTGTAGATTATCGCTGTTTTTCATTTGGGGAACATCTATTGAAACTTTGCAAGCGCAGCTCAACTGCGCATTTAAATGTTGAATCACAAATCCAGTTTGGTGGACAACAGTAGTATAACAAAATTTTAAACTTTGCAGTCATAAGGACTACGTCTACCAGACAACCTCTCCAAAAGATGTCAAACTTTTCTTCAGGAAGGGTAGCTTCTCCCTGTGTATGACGGAGAAGAGCCCAGTTTGATTTGCGGTTTCAGTGTATTTTTGAGATTGCGATAAAATTAAGCCGGTTAAATAAAACGAACATGCTTCCTATTCTATATCTTTTTCCACATTTGACTAAGAATTTTTGTGACACATTGTATGTGGGTTTTGCACAATGGTCGTTGTAACCCGAGTAGTTATGAGACAGTACGGCAGTGAAGCATCAGTGCCAACACTGATGTTGCTGTCTTTGATGATGATGATGATGAGTTATGAGATAGTCACATATGTGTAATCGAGTAACATTAACATAAAAACGGTAAAATCTTTTTGTTGGTCTACCATATGACTGGAATTCGTCCTGTCGACGGCATGAATCATATGGCAGTTTGATGATGATATGATGAGTTATGAGATAGTCACATATGTGTAATCGAGTAACATTAACATAAAAACGGTAAAATCTTTTTGTTGGTCTACCATATGACTGGAATTCGTCCTGTCGACGGCATGAATCATATGGCAGTTGGAGACGGCTGAGAGTGCAATGCCGGCGCGTGTATGGCCATGTAGCCAATTTCTGCCCGATTCGCTGACAGTTCCCACAGCTTCAAAGACAAATATAAACCTCAACAATAGATTTCTTCTACCGTCATTCTACATCTCACTTAGGCACTCGGAAAACACTCGTGTTCGCTTAAGGTGGTCTCACTAAATGAATGTTTTTCAGAAGTTCATGTCATAAGTTTAAGGAGCCAGTTCCGAGATTCAAGACTTTTTACCGTTGCTTCACTGCGTGGTTCTATCAGGCTATGTTGCACAGCATTTCCGGAACTCAGCCTTCGGTTTCAATTATGTAAGTTTTTTAAACGATTCTCACTGACTGACTCTCGTGTGAGTGAAAGCGGAATACGATTTAGTGCCGAATCTTTGCATTCACTTTTATTTGTTTCGGCAGACCTTGGTTCTCAAGTTTCCAATGAATCTGACTAATTTTTTACATTCACCGATAGCTTCGGCTGTAAATTGCGTTGCCTTGGCTATTAATAACCCTAAGTTATCCACACCTGACCTACACTTCAGTCATCTGCACTTACCTTCCTTCTTACGTCAAATACTGCGGTATATTCTACAAGGATCTTTCTGATATCTACTGCTTTCCGAAAGACTATATGAGTGACACATTTTCGCAGCGAACATGTAGTCATTACTATTTTAACTGTGACTCGATTCAACATGTTCGGTAGTTTTGAACTTAGTGTGAGGAAATTTTGTAAAAAAACACCAGCAGACGTTTCCTGTTTTCCCTCATACCAGTCTATGGGAAACGTCAGCAGTGCGCGGCTCATAAAACCCAGCATTTCGAAAGAGCGACACGCCGGCCAGTGGTTGAATACTCATATGTTCAGCCACAAGCGTCTGAATAGCAGTTTGATTACTTCTTACTTGAACATGATATAGCGTCACTCATTCACCAATGAAAAATCTCACCATTGGATAATGTATTAGCTGGCTCTTTGAGTGACAACGTACCAGATTTAATCACACTACTAATCAGCCGCTGGAGGTCAAACATTGGGTTTCAAATCACTGGGTTGCGGGTTGGATGCTCTCCGAGTTTTGTGAGATGCGTCATTCTAATATATCATAAATAACGATGTACGGCGCTTCTTGGCTTTTCAACACAGAATGGCCTCAATGGCAAGGCAAACTTTGGATTATAAGTTCGTAAGGACATTTCTTATGACCCTGCTTACAATACGCGTAAATGTAAATGTATTAAGTCTGTAGATTTTTTTGTTTTTATGTCGGTTCTGCCTCCTACTTATTTGTGGTTAGCTACCACAGTGTATAATTGACCCTTGCAGCATACTCCCTTGAGTATACATGACATACATACAGTATACATACAGTATACATACATACAGTCGACCTCAGACCCACCGCAAAACTTTGGTGCCGGATCATGACCAGTTGCTCACGCTAACAAAACTGTTCAAGAGATAAACTACTTGTGATATCATATCCTCTCAACTTGGCACAAGAGCAAAACAACGTTCCCAAGGCGGGCTGCTGGGTTATGGTCACCGAAACAGTATAACTGCGTTGTTAGACAAAGAGATTGAAGAAAAAGATCGAATAACTGACCAAAAATATCCACGCCGATACCTGAGCGTTCATCATACATCAACTGGGCATGCCGTTGGTGGGCAGCGTTTAGGGGGTTAACAACAAATGGCGATGTGGGCCATGTCTGCCCGCAAAGAACGAGTTGGGAGTGGAATAAGGCTTCATTCGTATTTACTTCATCATCAAACATTGCAGCCTGCTGACGTTTTGAGGCCAACGTTTCATCTAAACTCATTGTCTTCGTCACATTGTTCCTTTGGCTACAAGCGAACAATTGGAGAATACGTCAAATCTGCTCCTTACCTAACAGATTTGTTAGCAGCTTTCAAGCTGATATTCGGTTGGAATGACTGTGCTTGAGAACGGGAAATATTGTGGTTGGGTTTGAATGTCCACAAAAGAGGAAAAAGGGTTTCGAGAACCAGAAACATGCAAATCTAATGGTGTATCTCCTCATAGCACACGTAAAAACATGCGTGATATTCGCGATCCATCAAACACGTAATGTACTTCATTTATTTCCTTTTGGACATGCCAATGCTTAGAATAAGTTGGAACGGACTGTGAACAGTTAAGCTCTCAAGTGTGATGACATCCAGGCTCTTGGCTCTGACAACTGAACCAAAAAACCCTCCACAAATTCCGTTCTCTATTTCAATAGATTCAAAAGATTTTCGATTGCTCAAACTATTGAACAATGATCCATAGTTGATTATAACCATAAGTGACAAAAAAGGTACGGAGAAAAAAACGTGCCAGTCAACGGTGATGCAGCCAGTAGTCTATGACTAAAAACTGGCTTAATAAATGATAGGTAGCAAGCATCTTCATTTCGCCGAAAACGCAGTGCTTCATGTTGGTAACTTCAGAGTGAGACAGCTCTGAAATTGACAAAGCAAAGTACAGAAAGATCTCACGTTTTCCTCATATATCCATCAAAGCGCATACGATACTTGGGCGGATGATGCACACCACAATTCTCAGCCCTCGGGATAAACTTAAAACGACTCAGGCTAAAATACATTGCTAAAAATACAAACCCCACGAAATTTTTCGACTAGTTAGAACGGGGATTCATCACTTTCCATAGGCAAAATCATGCTTTTTGGATTAGGCATCTTTATTTTGAAGCATTCACAAATTCATGTATGGTTGCTTTGAACAATCTGTGCTCAAGAATTGTGCGTGTTAAGTTCAATGAAAATCGGGAAGGCCAAAAGCTTGAAGTTTGATAGAGTTTTGCAAAGGCTGTCTATCAGTATTCATTGACGTGAACTCAGTGGGTAACAGAGGATTTGACGCAGGTTAGAAATATTGTTTTAGAAATTTAGAGTTGGCAAAATGAGTTGGTGTGATTATGATGACTGAACATTCCGAAAACCTCGGGTTACCCAAAATTCTCGCCTTTTAATTCAACTTGTTCTTCATGAAATATGTTCTTAAACAAGCGAAAAATCCGCATTTTTCAACTAAAAGGGACGGTTAAACCTGTGAAAGTTGAGTTGTGAGTAGCTGGCAACCTCCTTGGATCCCTACTGATTATCTGCCTACAAGTATGTGTGTTCACTCATATCACGCGCGCTCTGCAATTCGTAGTGATTATTTAGACTCCATAGAAAATATATCCTCATAAATTGATTGGCAACGCTGTAAATAAAATAGTCACACCTATGCATAACTTATTATGCTCTTGTGGACATACTGGGCGTCCACCACGTATGAAGAACACTTGACACTCTGAAGAAGTATCCGACGTTGAAGTGACCCGATTTGGGTGTCATATCGAAGGTGACTCGTAGCAATCTACTTACAGTCTATTGTAGCCTTGCACGCTGTAGTCAAGTGAACTACATAGAACTGAAAATGTCTGGAAATAGGGCAGATGCTAGTCCAGACAGCAAGACTGAAAGGCTTTGTTTTCAGTAATTCACTGATTGACAGCCTAGGTCTTATGGCGTCAGAAATGACGTGTGCAAGCTGTTTTAATTTTAAACAGACTGATATGCATAAACCGATTGGTAGGCATCCAAAGTGGCCCTGCTTTGTACGCATCTCTCAGAAAACCGAAATTTTGGAATAGGAGAGCTTAAGACGGGGTGCTAAGGACATCTACAAAATTATATCCACGATCATGGACAACCTGTGGTGAAAATCTCGGGCATTTCTCAAGCGTATCTTGGTTGTACCCCAGCAGGATCTACAGACTGATTTAGTCACATCTAGGTAAGCCAATCCTGCCACAAGTGAGCAAGCATGTTCGCCGGTTTGGACGCGATAATTTGCGTGCACGCATTGTGAGCTGGTTGAGTAGCTGTAACTCGCTCGATTGGCCTACCAGATTTTGAAATCCTGCGCTGTCACGAATGAAAGCTACTAAAGAGCCCCGGTATGGGAAAACTTCGAGTCCAGTGCATCTAGATGTGGTGGAGTTCAACCGGAATACTCAGGCCAGGACTGCAAAAGGACTGTGGGAGGGAGGTTATGTGGAACAAGTACGAATATCAAGAACTCCACTTTATAGACGAATCTAAAATACCAGTATCTTAACTTCGTGATCTTGGATAACAATGTCACAATCATTAAAATGGGCTTGACCCCGTGGTCAATTTGTGACCCTGAGGCAACGCACTTCGGTTTTCGCCCGAAGAACGGATTACCTCATGATATATTTGGCCTAACAGAGCGCGCAACAAGATATTCGCTAACTTAAGATTACACCCCAGATAAGCTGATTAAGAACCAAATACTATGAGTGGCAAGCAGAAAGAATAATTTAGTCCGAGTAACTCAAGTCTCAAGGATGAGAAGCACAGCATCAGTAATCTTTGCTTTGGTGGATATTGTGCGAGTAGAAGCAGAGAAAGGGTCCAATGTTTATGATATTGACCATATTTTGTGTTACAACAAAGGGCTACCAAGTCTAAAATGACCTGTAGCGCACACTGATAATCACTTGGTCCGGTGACAAACCCTGGAAGGTATTCCGCATGGCTGAACCAGTAACTTCCACCTAATGAACCCAAATGGACAAAAAGTGCCTCGGATGACTGGGTTTAAAAGAAAGCCTGTTCAGTTCGATTCAAAACGCTAGAATAACATTTCAGCATAAAAGTTTGATGAATTATCAGCAGACAGGTTGTCTTCGTCACAGAATTACATGAAAACGTTGGTGTTAACTTAGAATAACAGACGTGCGTTGAAACAGATTGCTCTTGCTGCCCGATCCATTGCGTATAAGAGGACGAAGAATGACGAAATCCACGGTAGGTAGTAAGTGGTGGGTTATATCCACAAAGAATATTCCGTTTCCTACTAGTTGAAACATAAGGCGACCTTTTTGCAACGGGGATCAGAATGATGCAAAACGGCCAGTTAACAGACTACTGGCTGAAATTTGAAGGGTGGTTTTTTCTTCAAACAGAACTATCGCCTTCCTTCCCACAGTCACGACGACAAACACCGGAAAGGCTCTCTTTCCGTTTCCTTGATGTAATACCCACCACTTATAAAGCACTGTTCCATGGGGCATAACGTGACCAGATAACTAAACTTGATGACTAAAAGGCCAACTTTAATCATAAGGAAAGCTACTTTAAGTAGGCTTTCTGCTGATGATTAGAGATAGGTTAACGTCAGATGACATAGATTCAACAACATCCACCGAGGAATTGCGTATATGCCATCAGCAGTTCATGCGATACAGAAAACGCGGTGTGTGTGCATAAGGTTTTAAACATGACTGGCGTGGGATTTTAACGTGATCCCTCAATTTAAAACTGTCACTGTCTTTTCACGTAAGTTGTATATTATTAATTCGCGTGCTTTAATTCATACCCAGGTAGATCCACCTGGCTCCAGCCTTGATGAACAGTTGTCCAACCACCCTGTCTACATTCTTTATATCGGAGTCACTTTTACACAAAATTAACGTGCAAAGTATATATACCATGCTGTCGTCAGAGTGTCTGGCTCTATGCCTTCCCCCGAATGTTCCCTTGACGAAGAATCCGAAAAAATAATTTTTTCTCACAAGTTTTCTTCTGAGGTTTAATGCTGAAGTGGTCAGTCCTGGAAAATCATCTGGTAGAACAAGCAGAACGCACTCAAGCGTCTAAATGAGCACAGTAATAACAAACCAATTACTACGGATTACGGGCAGTTTTGGACGAACTGATGTAATGGAAAGACTTGAGCTGGGTATTTCACTACCCAACTTTCGGCAAGTTTAATAAATAAATCAAAACCCTGTAAAACCGCTATCAAATTTTTTTAAATATTGCATTAACTGACTAACTTTGGACCGTGCCGACAAAAATTCACCTGGGATGAACTTGCCCAAGATGAACTGACCAATGGACGGATTAATCGGCCCGAGTTATTTGGGCACCATAGGCGTCTCAAATTAGCAAACAAGAACCGGGCCTTGCAGATTCGTGCATTGACCTCGTCTGTCACACTACAGTCAGAACTAATCTAACTCCCAAGGTACATATAACTCTTCACAACTTCCAGTGTCTGCCCTGGATTGTAATTGGCGTGTTCAGTGCACACTACAGCAGAACTAATCTAACTCCCAAGGTACATATAACTCTTCACAACTTCCAGTGTCTGCCCTGGATTGTAATTGGCGTGTTCAGTGACTGCATGTCCACGAGCATGATCTTACACAATATGGGTGCAAAATGCATACCAAAGGACGAGATGACTTTTGTCAGTTGATCCAAAAACATTTGCGCCTTCTCCCTCTCTTCGAAGATGAGAACGATGTCGTCTGTATATTTCAGATCGACAAGGTTTTCTTCACAGGCTATTTGAACACCCGGGTTTCAAAGACTTTTCAACGTTCGTCTCATGGTTTTATCAATCACGAAATTGAGTAAGAATGGATAGAGTTAGTGCTTTTGACGGACATTGCTTTGTGTATACACTAACAAGTCTGAGAATACAAATAACCTATTATTTTTACAAACTTCCAGGGAATTCCTTGGTGGGCAAACGTGTCAAGTAAAACAGATCGATCAACGGAGTCGAATGCGCCTTGGAACAGTAGAATTGTGGGTTGCTTACACATATAGTGTTGTTCTAGCACCTGACGACGTGTGAACATTTAGTCAACTCAACACCTACCATGCCAGAATCTCGCTTGCTGCTCTCGAGCCACCGTAAGTTGACGAAGCACAAGCGACGCCAACAGTCTCGTTACGACTGGGGTCAAGCTGATTTCCAGTGGTCATCACACCCACTAAGGGCTTCTTTTTTTGAAAGTGGGCATTATCAACCACTCTATCTAGTTGTCTGGACCAGATTCCAAAATGCAAACAAACAGACCAGATCGGCGCTGACTGAAGAATTCACCCTTATCTTTGAACAAGACGGGTCTCTGGTCATCCAGACCAGAAGTTTGGTCGCGCTTGAGAGAGGCCGTAAGTGGTTTAACGTTCACCGCATAGGTTTCTACGTCAACTGCGGGCTGCAGATGAGGGGCAGTTGGTGGCCACGATTCGACCCAGCGGTCGATGTGGGTTTTATTTAAACTGGTTACTCCCCCGCTTGACTTCACGAAAACGCGGTTTCCAGTTTTGATGTGCCTAGTGCAGTCACCTTAGAAATATCCCTAAATTTTTTACTGAAGCTTGAATACTAATCAGTGGCCTCGAATTAGAATTAGTGTGGTTGGGCTGCCGCGTCTAGATCTTTGTTTCTACTGACTTCCCACTTTTATGTTCAGCGTGGAGAATAATATACTTGGACTACATCACAGTCGTCTGATTTCCTTAATGAGTACCAACCTGTGGACTGTGCGTAACGCCAGTGCCAGGCTTTCCTGCTGTTGATGTTATAATTCCCCTGGGTGCTTGGCAAGAACCGCTGGTTAACTTCATGCCAAGCCCAGCGCAGACATTCAAATGCACTCTATAAAAGCGCACTTCTTACCACTCTATGCTAGTGTGCTCGTAGATCTTTCAGTCACAGGAACAGAGGGAGTCAACCTCACATTTTACTCAATTTATTAAAGCAGACCTGACTTAGAATTCGGGTAAATCACTTACAATTTGGGCCATTAATGAAGATATTAAATTGTTCTTGCTTCCAAAAAAACAATGATTGTATTAGAAAACAGAGGAAATATTTCCCTATTCTCGGAGTCCCGGATGGTCCCAGTTCCCGTCCAAGGTCATTGGGTGAGAACTATATTCTCAAAGTGGTAGGTCTTGGTCGCACAGCCACTAACATCACAACACTACACCGATCTAAATCATACTGACGATCCGTTTCCATCGACCAGATGGAACGTGGCTGGCCGTCGTGTGTGAATACTACACCCTTCGCAGTCCAATGTGTAAACTCAAGTGTGCTAATTTATCCGACCATTTTTCTGAACACAAAATTTTCATGGCCTTCACAATCGGAAGATAAAATAATGAAAGTAAAAATACCAAAAGACGAAGAATAAGTGAAAATAAGATTAATAAAGACGCACTGACACTGGCTCATCTGTCATGACCCTAACACGTAGAGAAAGAGATAAAAGCGCATAATGGGGTATGCGTGTTCTTGGATGTACATATCGTGTGTTAAAGCACATTTCCAATTTCAGTTTCATACTTTCTGCTGTTGTTTACCTATTTTCGCCATACTCGCTCCAAACCCTGACACCTTAACCCCAACAGTCATAGCAAAGCACGAAACGTCAGTCAAGCTTTCCATTCGTGAAAATCCGGGGGTAGGTCTCTCTAATCGCCTGGAGTTTGAACCCTTTATCATAAACTCAGTTGATTCCCACTGGGTTTTTGTAGGTTTGTATCTCCAATCCGTTGAGGCTACATATCACGTAATACTTTACTGTAGCATGATTATCAGGTCATACTGCACCAAATGTTGCCCCCGTGTGGTTCACCGTTGACTGGCAGTTCTTGATATATGTAAGACATGTGAACTGACAGTAGGTCATACTGTCAAATGAGCACTGACAGAGCACCGCTAGCCAAATCTGAATCAAACGAAATCATGTGTTATTCGTTTATAAGGCTTCCTCTGACAAATGTTTTAATCAAAATAATCACACTTTTGCAGCCGATAGCCTCTGTATGCAACACCATGCAGGCAAACTTAAGCCAAAATATTTCAGTTTGTTTGCACTCGAAAGGAAAGTTGGCTCCGTGAATGTGGTCATCCTTAAAATAAAGGCGCCATTAGAAAAGGGTGGGTAACTTTGTTTGGTTCAGTTGATAAAGGCTGTGTTATAGCCTATCCGTCAGGTCATCAAGCCATAACTCCTAGGAACGGGTGAGTTCGGTGCCTTATGATGGTTTCGCACAGAAAACGAAGACCGCATGCCATCCAACGTGTCAGTCAGGATATTACAGCAAATGGAAGATTTTCATTAAAGCCATCCACTTTTAGTTGCTTCACAAGATTTCGGAACAAACTACATAGTTACTTTCCCTGTGTTAGGTGTCTGACTACACCATGGCTTTACTTCGTATACCCAGATTGCTTAAAAAGAAATAACATTGGATAATGGGGATAACCTCTCAGGTATCATTGGTTGATAAAAAGCGATATACAAAAACGTCCATGGAACAGGCAAGTTTTGCTTGTTTTTCAGATCAAATCAATCTACTACGTTTTTCATGAATTAAGTCAATGTTGCGACACCCAAAACAGAGTACTAATGTGGAAGTTGCTACTCTTTGCTAACCAACTACTAGCCGATTTCACAGTAGGCTAAACTATCCGAAAGGAACAATCAAAGCGGGAACCACAGAACATTTATAGCTGTTCGTAGAAGTAAAACTGTTATGGAATGGAATGGGGTCATTAAAAATCGCTTTTTAAGTTCATCTGAATTCAATGAGTTCCCAGTTGCAAAAAATAAGCGATCAAGAATGAGGTCATTGGAAACAGCATGCAAAAATCTGAACGCATTTGCGGAGGGAATTCTGCCGAACAGTAATCGCCTCCAGCTATGAGGAATGCTGGAAAAGTCTAGCAGTATTCATAAGATATATAACAAATAATTATTTCAAAAAAACATCCAAACTTTCTCCTGAGTGAGCCGAATTTTTGCAAGTAATTTTTGTCAGAGCCCAAACTGTAACCAATCCAGATTGGCTAGAAGGTGATGGAACAGAGATAGCTTTGGAACATGATGGCACATACCTTGTAATTAAATGATGATTCTGTTACTTTGAGCAACAGAAGGCAAGAAAAGTAACGCAGCACAAAGTTCACAAACTATAGCCATAACATTCGATAGTCATTAAAAAGCAAGAATCTCCTTATCTAAGTCAGTAGTCATTGCCGGTTTATGGCAGGAAAGGATGGTAGATATTTTAAAACACAAAATAACATGACCAAAAAAGCAGAAGCTATGTCCTTTATGGGGAGGGGCGACATAACCGTTCTTAGATAAATATCCCCGCTTGCCGTAGTTCACAGGTGCTTTAGGACGAAAAATAATGAGCTCATAGGATGTTGCGTAATCCAAACCAAAGAAAAGCTCACGTACATTGGTGCCATCGGCCAACTACTTTTTAAGATACTTTATTAACCGGCTTGGTTGCCATATTAAACACGAGCCACTTGCTAAACTTTTGGGTTCGCTTATGGCATTCATGGTTTTGGGACTATGAATTTCTTGAATCACAAGATTATTCATAGAGTCCTAATGAAGATGTAAAATTTTCTTCTGCCTCTCGAAGATATAATGAGGATTATTTTCTGATTACCGTTTTACTGTTACAGGGAGTGCTATTCGCTATTTAGACAATTTCTTACCAGATATCAAATTTGCGACCCACAGGATCGGACCATTGGAGAACCAAGCTAGTAGACGACTTACTCCAAGATATGAGATCCTACCTTTTCCTGTCTTTAAAATGTGGCCTCTCCTTCTTGACGCAATCGTCTTAACTGTATGTTCTTGCGCTACGTTCAGCTTGGCTCATGAGCTTTTTGTTTTTCGCCCCTTTGGATCCATGTATTTAAAAGAACTACCTATCCTGAAAACATTGGGTGCAAACCCAATTTCACAAAGACTTTCCGAACTCACGTCTTCTCTGTACAGTTTTTTGGAAAGCACTAAAACCCTGGGATGATACAGACCACTGAGGAGTAAAAAACGTACCCATGGGAAGTGCTTTTCTACAAGTAAAATTACTATTCTCAGACAGTTCAACAGCCAAATTTTGAGTAGGAAGACGGGGAGAAGGAGAGAGAAACTAATTCTAACACTAATTATCTTCGAGAGTGACGATCGATTTGCATAAAAAATAGAGGGTTGGTAAGTACAAAATCCTGCTCAGTGACAGGTAGATCAGTGTATGTCCACGCCCATCGCAATAAGCTATACAGTCTAACTGAAAGTGGTTTAAGTCCACTTGACACAGACCGACAGTGTGTAGCAGTTTCATATTGGCTGCACAAAATGATGACGCATCTGCTACTTAAATGACTGTCTGTAGGTACTTATGGATTAAACTAACGGGAATGAAATCTTATGCACGTAGAGATTACCGAGTACTAGCTTGGTATTTCTTAAAATAGTTGGTTCCAAGCCTGTCTAGCCAAACCGCTCATCTTCATCTCGGCCAGAAGACAACAACAATCATTGACCAACTGACTTTCTGTTGGACCATTTAACTTTATATATGTCCTCTGACTGACACTTCCCGGGGCAAAATGTTCGAGGATTATAATTTTCTCTCCTTTTAACGTTATCATAGGTTGCTCACTGGAGACAGACATGAAAAGAGTCGTTTCTTTGACATCTCTCCAAAAAATGATTCCTTGGTTGATTATTTGGGAAATTCTCCCAGTTAAGTTTGTTTCAGTTTTTTTGAACAAGGTTTTCTTTGAGAAATGCACTCATTTGCAAATCAATTTGGTTTTCACGGGAGAGTCGATTGAATCACTTGTTTATGATGTCCTCCAACTGAGTGTGCTGCACACAGGCCGCCTCATGATTTAGTTGACACGATATTCGAGACATCCCAGTATATTTTTGTAAAGGAAACTACTCACAAGGTTGCTGAAAACGCTTCGACAGCCCACGACCGGTTTCGCCCTTCTTGGGGCTCATCAGGTAGGCGCAGTCCCCAAGTTTCCATCAGCCTTGTTCTACTTGAACCCAAATCGCACTGTTTTCGAGAAATACACTCATTTGCAAATCGGTTTGGTTTTCACGAAAACAGTCTAATTTTGGTTCAAGTAGAGCATAAGGTTGACGGAAACTCGGGGACTGCGCCTACCTGATGAGCATTAAGAAAGACGAAACCGGTCGTGTGCTGTCGAAGAGTTTTCAGCAGCGTTGTGGGTAGTTTCCTTCATTAAAAAAGGTTTTGTTTGCCTTGAGAATCACACGAATTATCTTCAGGGACGTCAATATTATTAGGTAGCAAGAAACCATTAGCCCTTGAGGAAACCAAGAAAACCCTTATTCTAAATCATGCCCCAAAACTGTATCCGTCGGATGTCATGCTGCCTTTTTGTTCACGACGATTTAAGTGATCTAGACTAACCATGCACGCCTGAGACAAGTATCTCCATAGCCCCGTGGGCATACACAGTGATGGTAATCATTCATGATTATTAATAAGGAATCGAAGCGGAACCAAGGAGTACTTTGTCAGAGCAGATGAATTGCATGAAAACGCGAGCAAGGCATTTCGCTGCAATATGGAAAACACCATCCTTCGGACAATGGAACATCTGGTACTTTTGACAGTTGAATACTTTTGAATTTCCACTCATTTATTTCATCAGACATTGGGAGAATGAGTCCTATGGTTACGTGGAAAATTTCTCGACGCGCTTCGATTGAGTATGTTTATGTATGTGTATATAATTATATGTACATATGCATATATGTATGTGGATATATTGATTCACCCGAAACAGATTCCCTGAACAAGATTTAAAACAGGGCTGAGGGGTAATTCCGACCACATCTTTGGTGGGATCATCCATTACAGACCGTAATAGAATACGACAGCCGTTCTCTGGCAGTTTGGAGGAATAAAACAGTAGACAGCCAACCGGAGCGTGAGGTCAGATGTGTTAATAAACCTCAGTATGTCGATGCGAGAGGCTTGCGACATCCGGAGCGTATGGGCGTTGACTCCAAACAGTGAAGTATTTGAGTAATCTGAAGTGGCTATTTGGGATGCGTTTCAATTTGGAACCCGCGACACCGGAAACTGATAGCTTGTAGAAGAAATGATGAAATACTCTTCCCTGAATGAGTAAAACCCCTGTGTGCTTCGCGTTGATAGAGCATATTCCCGAGGACCACCAAAGTAAGCGTTGATCCCAAATAAGCTTCAGGATGGTCAAAGATAGGAGTTGCACATTAGCTGTCTTAGTTCACCTTAGGCCTTTTGTGCAGAACGACTTCTTTCATCGCGTGTATGTAGAAAAGACAAATATTTAGCAATCATAGTTGGTAAATACTCACCCAGTAGGTAAACATTTAGCAAACTTTCCGAAACTAATTTTAGCAAATACTTACCCCCTCTTTTAGCGTTTAGATGTCGATTAGGACTATATGAACTTCTTTCCTATGGTGGAACCAAATTGGACTTTAACTCGCGTCTCACCCTACTGGCTTCTCTACTACAAGTATGAATACCCCACAACGGAGGCGAAACATCGACCTCAACAAAGTGAAATTCCCTGGATACTGCCAATGTCTCAGTGGCTTCAGTTTGAAACGCAGACAAATTGGAATTGCGCTGAATGTACTTCTCAGTTTTAAACTTAAAGTTTCTCTTGGTTCGGAATAATAAATCCGGCTGCTACGCACTACTCAGTCAATACAATCCTTCTCGCATAAACTGAAAATAGTTTGGAGTCAATGACCGAACCGCCTGAGACCATTTCAAAATGGTTGAAATTACCTGCCTAAATCAACATTTGAAATCCAAATTTCCGCTAAAAATGTGCCCCGATGGATGTTGCGACAAATAGCAAAAATAAGTGAATACTATCAGAGTTCTCTTTCCAACCAGATCATCCCTTAGACCGTTGAGAATACGTTGCAAAAGCATCGAGAAAGAGACTTGTAAGGAGCAGTGGAGTCCGACTTGTTGAAGAACTTAACGTCACCATAAGCTTTATTTCAACGGATAAAGCACCGAAAACAAACGCTGTAGAGCATCTACAAACGCGCACAAATGAGGCCATAACTATGATACGGTTGAGTTGGTACAGACCGTGAAATTGTCAGTTGTATAGTTGGACACCATGTTTCCACATTAACGTTATTCAATGGCTGGGCGAAATATTGGTATACATTGGAAGCTTGTGGTGGTATACTTGTAAGGGTAACTTGTGTAGCAATTTTAAGAACATGTAGAACCTGGTACATTTGACAGTTTGTTACATTTGCGAGGTAATACTTTTGACAAACACACGTGTTGTTAAGTGCAGCTACCGTGGTATGGGTAGCTGGTGTGGATCAACAAATCTATATTGTTTCTAGGATGTTGGATATCGAGAAGTGGACGAAAACGTGTCATGTGCCGTAAAAAGAGGTTCAACGCGGCCTCCAGGCGACCAACAGAGTTGTTGTAACTAGCCATACGGATTAAGAAGTCACCTTCGGAAAAAGCGAAATCGTTTGGTCAAAAAACGTTTAGTGCTCTCCCAGTGTCGCTTAAATCGAAATGCCTAGAATCGGCAAACTAAAAAAGGACTCTCAATACAGGCAGAAACTTGGCAGCTGTCTGAATAGCAGGCATGTAATACAGTTGAATGATTTGATATGTGCTTTATAAGGAAGTCGCCATGAACTCTTTGGTAAGCTACCACCGTTTGCACGCATATTAATAAGAAAAAGATTGAATAAATGAACATGCATGTCAGGCGCTCTCGCTCTTCTAACCTACAATGTTCGATTAAAACATTCGCCTTAGGGGGAATCCTTACTGCTCGGTGATGCAGATCTTAAAAGCCGTAACTTGGACAGCAGGTAAGACATTGTTTCAAGCGTCCGTGGCGCTAATTGACTGCAAAGTCCTGGTAGCCGGTCATTCGATCGACACAACCAGGACCGTTGCTGAGTCTTTGTTCTAGGAGTCCGGCAGATCCCTCACATCCTTCGAGCTTGCACACATTCACCTGTTCAGACTTGATGATTCGGTTGCGTCCAGTGTGCTTTGGTGCAGTAGTTCTCACACGGTTGTCGCGCGAGTCAAATGTACGTAGTGCAAATCCCTGGACGGCCAAGGGAGTTATGATAAAAGCAAACCTCGAAACAAATGATTCTGCCGTTCGTTGTGGACTCACCATGAAGCTCGTGTCAAGACCGGAGGACGACTGCTCGAATGCGAGTGACGTAAAAGTGGAGTGTATCTCTCACTGTTCATTATATTCTACCGAGCTTTTTAATTCGTTCGTAGCAATGAACGTTCTATCTTTTCTCCCTGTGGTGACAAATTTGACATAATTTTTCTTTTTCTACCCCTGACTTTGATTCTAGCCCACAGCATTTATTCTGATTGATTCACTCGGATGTGATTTGAACCTGCTGAGCATCACGACTTCGTCCGGTTTTATATGACTGCTTACGTTAATACCGTAGGAGTAATTCGACCTCGAAATGAAATGTCTGTACCTAAAACATCTTTCGCATCTTAAATGGTATCGCGATTTCACCATCGACAACCAACTTTCCCAAGTTATATGTATCCAAGCTTAACCATAACATCCGTCTGAAATTCGAGCTCGTAATGCCTTCCATCATCGGCACGATTCTCAAGAAGCCTACGACGAATTAGAGTTATTTTAGCCAGTATTTTTTAAACTTCACGTCCATCTAAGTTCAAACCGATCGCACCTAACCTGAGATAAATCACCGAACCACATATCGAGGCGCTAGGACAGAACAACACATTCTGCTCGTTGTCCATTTCTTATACTACTCTGTTGTCGAATCTGTCTTCCTTTTGACTAATCAAATTCCACAAGTACTTGGAATCAGTCATGCAAATAAACAAAATGCAAGTGGGTTGGGGGAAAGAAAAGCCCATTTCCTTCAAGGAAATGGTGCGATTTTTTTGCAGAAAACCTTGGAAATTTTGTTGCCAATCTTTGCAGTGGGACCATGAACAAATTACGGAGAGAAGCTATGTAATTTGGACAAAAATCCTGCGTGCCACGACCCAGTGCTCAGCCGATAGTCACCCAGATCGATGCATTGGACCGCTTTTAATTTATTAACAAACTGCACCGTTATACAAAAGCACAAAAGGGTCAGTTTTTCTCAAAACTCATACAAAAATGGAATAAGTAACAAGTTGAACTTCTTCATTAGAATTCTCTATAAATCAGAATCATACCCCAGAGATGTTTTTCTGGAAGAAACAAATTTGTGACAGGTCGAAAACTACCGATATTAGAATACATGTGGATAATTTCTTTCTCTTTGATCCGTTTCAATAAGATCAAATATACCAATAAGTTTGTGATCGTTTTGAAGAGAATCCTACAGCTCGATCACAGTACAGACAGAAAATATCGAGTCTGGACTTTGATCGAGTAAAAGTTATTAATTTTAAAAATCACACGCAAATATCGATTTTTCCGTCGACACAGACACATCAGCGGACAGCTAGTAGGGTTTGAGCCTTATTCGTGCTGTTAGTGGTTGTTGACCGAAGGTCGCTAAAGCACACAGCTTATAAATTGATAAACACACCCAGAGTATGTGAGCATGTTCATACTATGTGGACACGCTTGTTTGTCATAGTCTGTATACTTTGGTCTGTCAGCTGTTTGGTACCGAAACCGGAAAATCAAATTATTGGAGAGGAAGATTACGCCCTTGGTGAGGGATTAGAAGTTCAACACAACTACACCGACTGTCCTATTTTGGATGATGCTTGGAAGCGATTCACCAACCGTCTACTTGGAAGACAACTGCCCGTGGAAGGGGAAAACCCTCCCGTGGCTAGAATCAAATATGTGAATATTGACATACAATCTGGATGTAGTGAAACCAAATCGTTGTTGTGGCCACGAAATGGAGCAAATGAGTCATGTAGGTTCAAAGTATTTTTTGTCATGTACCACGAAGACTCAGTTAAAATTAGCAAAGAAGCCATTTACATCAATGCCGAAGAAATCTGGGGCACACTGTATGCTCTAGAAACCGTCGCACAACTGCTTCGAAGGACACACAATGGGCAGGTCTGTTTTGTCTGCGCAAATCTGGTTATTTACACAAAATAGATCATTATCAAGAGTCAAGATATCATCGACAAGCCAAAGTTTCCTCACCGGGGTTTTCTCATTGACTCGTCAAGACATTTTTTGCCCGTAACAAACATCCTGCAGTTCCTGGTAATTTGTTTTTGCACATTTATTGAGTCTGGCATGTCATGTGACTTTAGGATGCTATGGCGATGGTGAAAATGAACGTGCTTCATTGGCATATTGTTGATGATCAGTCGTTTCCCTTTGTGTCATGCAAATTCCCCAATTTGTCGGCAAAGGTACCTTAATTTTGACGTGCGCGTATCCCCTCCAGGGCTCCTACGATCCTGTTCACTATGTGTACAGCAGAGATGATGTCAGTCGTATACTGGACTACGCTAGGAGACGTGGAATCCGTGTGATGCCGGAGTTTGATACACCAGGTGGGCGCTGTCTTCGGTTTCACTGCCGGAGTTGATACACCAGGTGGGCGCTGTCTTCGGTTTCACGATCTTGATATGTTTTTCATCGCTCAGACTTCAGTTTTCCCTTCACCTGTATTTCGGACAGCCTGTCACCACATTCAGGCCCCCTTCCTCCGCTAGAATAAACTTTCAGTGTATTATTGTAGAGGATACAATGTAGGTAGTTTTTGCCAACAGGAGACAATTAAAACTCAGCTGACTCCGTTATCTGCAATAATCTTCAACAAGATGCACTATGTAAAGTTTGCCTCGTTTCCACGTGAGAAGACATTCAACGTGTCAAAATATTTCTCCATATATGGCACCACTCATATGGTTGATTGAACCATTGAACGGCCTACGACCGGTCTTGCTCTCCAGTAGGGTGTGAATTTTCAATAATTTTTATTGGTTTTGTTTGTTAATTGAATTGCATTAATCTGGAGATCAGACAGGTATTTGAAACTCATTCTGATTTTGGTCGGCAACTTAAAAAAGTCAGCCGAATCGTTTGCTCATAATAACTCTGGCGTTTCACCTACCTGACGAGCCCCCGAAAAGATGAAACTAGTAGTTAGTAGTCAAGACTAATTACCAGTCGAATTAGTATCAACAAGTCAAGAGATATAAAAAGTATTTCTCAACTTTGTCTACCGAGATGAATCAAACAGCCTTACATCGATCCTTCCAGCACCAGAAGCTGCGTTGGGTGGGACACGTGTCGCGTATGCCGGACCATCGTTTACGGAAGAGAATGCGGTTTTCCGTGCCCGATTCAGAGTTGCTTGAGCAGAAAGGTGGCCAACCTTTGACCTGGCAGAGGGGCATGAAAGACAGTGCGAAACTTTTGGGTGCTGTTGGTGCAGTTGTTGTAGTGTAGTTGGGGACGTTCCAAGATATGATTGTTACACGATGTCAGTTCTTGTTGTCACTTACTATCCAGATTGCCTGAATGAAAGTCATGAGGTGTATGTACCTCGGAATGATTGTAGTAAGCTAGGGCCAAGTCCCTTCTTCGTCCAAGTTTATTCTTTTCTTCACAATAAGGCTTTCGAATAAATCATAGTCGTACGGTAGCGAAGCATCGGTGTTGAACCCTAATGTCATGCTGATGATGGCACCGATCCTTATGCTTGCAAGTGTGCTTGCTTAGCTAACGCTCACAGTACAGTTTGCATGTTGGCCATATAAAAAGTGAAAACTAACTCTAATGCAACCCAGTGTAAATAATGAACTTGTGCGTGTGTGCCTACACCTGGTCTACTGTAGTTCACTGGCACCATGGCAACCAGTGTGGTGTTTATTAGGCTGTGGCAAACTAAACTTTCAGTGCTTGTTTGTTCCAAAATTTTCGCCACATGATTGCTTATCTCGCCAAGCTTTGGTTAAATTTTCACTCCATTTAGAACTAAATGTGTGACACTAAGATTAATAGCCTGGATCGTATTTGGTTACTGTGGGAAACGTGGGCAACATTTATGGATGTCATTTTTATTAGGCTTGTTGGTTGCTCGTAGACCAAACTATGACACTTCGTCCCACCAAGAGGAATCCGCATAAGGAAATTCCTCCCGATAGTACAGCATTATCTACAGTGCAATCTTTTGTCAAAGACAGCAATCAGCAACCAATATCTCTTAGATAGTACGATAGCAGAAAAGCGTTATCAATGGTGACGTGGAAGAGAACGTCGACTATGGACGTGAATCTAGTACATCTTGTGAGATCTGGTGACAATTAGGATGGTGTGTATGATGGCGAGTAAGATGCAGATAAGGTAGACGATGACGATAATGATCCAGTGAAATGTTGAAAGTAGAATCAAAGTTTATTAACATAATTGGGGGAATCGCCTCTGAGTTCTTCTATCGATAGCTTCGAATATCAGCTTCTTTGGTCTCTGCTTTCTTCTAAGAGTTTTCGTCACACCGAAATACGGCAAATGTCAAACTAATGATGACATGTTTAGGTACGCAACTTTATAGATTGCAAGTAACGAAGAAATTGGTTTGCCCAGAGAAAGTAGCATACGATAAGTGTAGCAGACGCTGTTGCCTGAATCAGATACCATTGACTGTGGCAAATTACTGGTTAGCGCTTCAATTGATGGTTAATGGTGAAGCATAACTTTCAGAGTAGAACTTCTTTATGATTGGACCGCCGATCATCACACTTGGCTGCGGTTATGGGTCATGATGTAATCTTTTCGAAGATAGGTGTCCTGAAGATAGCCCATACACCACGAGGAGCGAGCCACCTGAGTCTTGCGTGAATGTCATACTTGAACCGGTTACTAAACAAACCTGCATGTTTTTTATCCATCCAAATGGCCATTCAGAAACACAGTTTGTGTGCAATTGAAAGCATCTGACGATTTTTGTGCAGTTTGGTTCCAAGTAGAATGCAGTCTTGGCGGACACTTGGAAACTGTGCCGATCTGGTGAACTTTAAAAAGGGTGAAACCGATTGTGGCTTGCCGAAGCCCTTTCAGCAAACTTCCGAGTAATGTGAGACTTCCAGATCCCGTAAGTCGTCCCGCCTTCAAAATAAAGCAATGAGCGAACTATTCTCGCCTCACCTAGCACTTATTCAGCCCAAGCTTTGTAGAACTACGTTAAAGGACCAGATGGCAAAAATCCATGTTACATGTGGAGATGAGTGGAAAGACGCTGCTTTTTTATCACCTCAAAATCCATACCCAGACTCCGGTCATGCGCTTACACTTTTGGCATGATTTCAAGCCATTTCGGTCAAGCTATCTGCACGCTACATTAATCAACCGAGGCTTGATAAGTGGTTTACTTAAGCAGTTAAATTATAATCCATCCGTGCACCTTAGTTTGTTCAGGCATTGTGTCATCATCCGGTAGTCGCTTGCTCAGAGTTTTGTTACAAGCCCGGTGCAGCTAGCTGTCTCCCTCTAGGCTCGGATTTCTCAATGGTCAAACGTTGGAACCAGCTACAAGGAGCCTCCTTCACATCTTGGTGCGACTGTTGGCGCACCTCAACAAATCATTGACCTTTCCTGAATGACATTCGTGTGGCATTCACAGAGTCAGCCTCTTACAGGTTGATCATCAGATAGAGTTCTGGATAATACAATCTAATGGCTCTCCAGATAGGAGAGTTGCTGCATACAAGGTGGCTGTTTAAACCTAACTAGGTTATCAGAATTAATTTGGAAAAAAGAAGCTGTTCCAAACAATTGGAACCAATCGACTGTCATAGCTAGGCTCAGAAAAGGTCTACCAGTAAGTTAATTCATCCGTGAAGTTAGAGGCCTCAGGTCTGTCACAACGTGTCTACTTGAATTAGTTATACTGCCAGAACTATCATTCGTATGTGAGATGTAGATCTGAAAACAGCTAGCAGAGTTTTATCTGAGTACGAATTGCATTCATGTTCTCACATTACGTCAGTGTTCTTGGCGGTACCAGGTGAACGGCTGGCCAAAGGGTGCGCTTTACCTTGACTTCAAAGCAGCCTTTTAGTTTGTAGATAAGTAACTTCTCATTCGCACAATCAGCCAACAATGGACGTCGGTGCACGCTTTAAATGTACTCCGCTATATTTGTACTCAATCTTCGTGTCATTTAAGAGTTTACAACGAACTGTCGAAAGGTTTTCCCACAATCAGTGAAGTTCGACAAGGCTACGCTCTCCACCATTCCGTTTTGTTTTATCATCAACATCATCATGGAATGAACATTTTGAGAGATCGAGGACCTCCGCATCGAAAATACATCTAGAGGAAAGCTTATGGAATGATATTATCCGGACACACTTATGTTGTTCTAATATGGTCAGCAACCCACGCCATTCATTTTACATGGGATTTCGGAACTGATCTTTTGTTTCGGTATGTATACCTTAAAACTGCAGTGTATCGCTCCAAGATTTTCGGTCCCCCCTGCTGTCTGAAACATCTAAGGAACTCGAGTTTGTTAATATGTTTAATGAGTTGAGCGGCAGCACCAGTCCTTACTATTTTACTGCAAATTAAGTAAATGCACGCATTGTCAAGGCAGGAGCCACATTTATGAACCTACGCAGTTAATCGACTTTAGACTTAACCGAATCGGCCCACATTTTTCATATTTTAAGCATTGCACCTATTTTCGAAAAAGACGGTGTAACATGTGTATTACCCTTAAAACTCAACCAAAAGTAAAACGAAACATCAACCATTTGATTAGCAATGTGATTTTCAGTTTCCTTGCGTCTTAGACCGCCTTTTAATCGATTTTTCATTAGGTCTTGCCAAGGCTCAGGAATTGCTTTTTTGGTAATTATCAAACAACACAAGATACTCCAAACATATCTAACTTACTTTGTGTTTGAATTAGCCTCACTCTGTATACCAGTGTTGCTGGATCCGGTAGCTTATCGGATAGCTCCTATGCCTATTTGTGCGCCTCGTACATACCGTGCTGCCACGTACCCGGTAACTTAAGCCAGAATGGGATACTGTTAGGCCAGTGGGACACCAGACTTTCTGAACTATGTTTGTATCACTTCCTCAAGCACTGTCATCACAAGCAAGCTCGAATACAGTATAGTTTCCACAAGAGCTCCGCTAGTGGGCAACAGCCGGTCTCATTTTTGCAGATAATGAATGAATGTTGAGAGAGATTATGTCAGCTAGGAACAGCAGTTGACCCTTGTCAATATTTTTGACAATGGCCATATGCCTACACATATTTATGGACTAACAAAAGGATGTCAAGCAGCTGAGGAAAAGCAACTCTATCTGTTAAGAGAAATCGTTCTTTACCAGACTAAATACACTTATCTTCTTTCAGGCCACTAATTAATTGCCAAATAAATTTCAGTTCGACAGCTTAATATCTTTGTATTGTGAATTTATCTTACACCATACTCTTCAAACTCTGTCACATACTCGAAATTCCAGTCTGTCTAATCTAATTGAACCGGATCTGCCGAGTTTCCTGTGATATGTTTGAGTGTGTGTATTTGTCACAGGGACGAAGGTGATTTGTTTCATGTTCACGATCGGTTCCAATATTTGCAAACAGACTACTATGCTTCCGGTAAGCCTGCATACATTGTTTGCCAACTATACATAAAACGGAAACCTTAAAATTGATACGTAGCCCATTATCGAATCCAAGAATTTCGATTTCCAATTAATGTGCATGTTTCTCCAATGCAACTCTGAACACATAGTCCTAAACATTAGAACAAAGCGAACAGGTCAGAAAAACTATTGTAAAATCAGTTTTCTTGAGCCATAAGAGTAAATATCTGTATTAAGTTGCCCATTGTAGAGTCTTAGTTATAAAACGCAGAAGTATGTTTCCGGGTTCTACGTGTCATGTGAGCAGACTGCGCTGTGTATCCTCCTTAGTTCCCTAATTCTCCACCATACTGCAGGACATACATACTCCTGGGGAGAAGGCGATCGGAAGCTTCTAACTCCATGCTATTCCGAAGGTGTCCCTGACGGTACATACGGGCCAATGAATCCGGCAGAAAGTTATACATATGAATTTCTGGTTGATCTTTTTGAAGAAGTCACAAAAGTATTCCCAGAGCAAATGTTTCATCTGGGTGGAGATGAAGTTCCTTATGACTGCTGGTGAGTACAACTGGGCTGACTTACATTTTCTTCAGTTCCTCTGAATAATTGCAAATCATTATTTCGGGATTGCGCAAGCTCTGTGATTAATTAAAAATTTAAAAAATTCTAGAAAAAACTAAAAAAATTCAATATGCCGCTCAGTAAACAAGTTGGTAATGAAGTGCTAAAAACTTGAGAATTGTCAACCCTCTTGAACTGTCTCGCATTTTTCATCGCACTATGTCGTGACAAACTGTTTCTGATCAGTGTAAAAATTTGTTTAAACAGTTGCACAGGCAATCTTATTGGTGATATAGTGAATTGCACGGGAGCCGGACAGATGACAAATGTATGGTGCACTTCTCCCCTCTCTCTCCCCGTCGAGCTGCCGGTGTAGAACATATCGACGCAGAAATATCAGCTAGGTATCATGCAGTGAAGATTTCCGAAACACACACTGTCCGGGGACTCGCTTACTGCAGACAGCATTGTCGCAGTGATATAAGGTAGCCTCAACGTAGGAGGTACTTTTCCCTATCTACGTTATTTGTCTTAAGTCGAACCTAGAAAGTATCGCATAGTGTGCTATACTATTACATTTATAGAAAATTACTTGAATGAGTTACTACAATAACTTTCCTTCGCAGAATGGAGGCAAACCAGTTATTGGAATGTCCCCAGGTGAAATGGCATCACAGGGAAAAAGATAAGGTTCCTCTCAAGGGGGTTAGTAACCGGAACTGAGAGAAACCGCTATTTTGCTTTCTTTCGAAATATGGCTCCTTTACGAATGTGAATGTGAACAGTATTGCTGGTAGTCGTTGTCAAATAGGCGTTTCATAAAACGTTGGATCACACAGCTGCATGTGAATATGTGGCCGCAAGTGAGTTATTCATTGCGTCAGATAATTCGTGTGAAAGCAAAAGACTAAGCCAAGTGTGTTCCCGTGCTTCGCTAAGCATGACCATCCAGTGATCAATAGGTGTCAGTTATTGGAATAAATTCAAGACCTAGGGATTCCCGATATTCAAGTGATCCATAATGATTGCATATATGCTATGCGTCCCTTGATCTCTCCTCGTAGTTACTGACTGGAGTGCACAGTGCAACCAAAAGTTGCCAGCAGTGTGAAAGAACCTTACATTTGTCAGCTGAACCCCCATTCTTTATCGTAGCCTAAGGAAATTTGAGTTAAAACTTCCTTAGACCATCTCCCTTGTGTACAACCACAGATGAGCCTTCCGACAAACCCCGGGATGCAGATTGGCGTATGAGCGAAAACGATTCATATAGAACACCTTTCTGCCAGGTCGGATAAATGTACGAAGTGAAACTCAATGATACTCAGCCGCAGAGGAAAGACCAGTTCGGTACATCATTGGGGAGATTGAAAATCTAACTCTAATAGAACGAACTCAATAAAACTTGAGCAAGTCCCATAAGGTCGGATGCGGCCACCGGTAAAATCAGCCAAACAAAGAAGACGTATTGAAGGACAGTTGTTTACATTCCGACGGCTCATTGAATGTGAGGCAGCTCTTTAATGAGCCGAGAACTTAGTCATTTGTAGACAAGTAGATAAATGGCCGGGGGAATTCGGAAATGAAACGGACCGACAAAAATAAGAAGAATGTTCCATTTATGCCAGTACAACAAATTATGACTTGTATCAAATAATAATAAATAATTATAGCGGATAAGAAATAAACTATTTCCGATCCTGTGTGTGGGTTTGCCAGTAGAGCGCAAAAATTTATGTACTGTTGATACGATTCATCCCACTGGTTTACGTCTTCACTTCTCTGTCTATAAGACAACATGTTAAATTCACTCAACTATCCTAAGTGAGTGGGGATTGGAGCACATCGAATTGCTCGTGGTACTGAATCAACAGGCATCATCCCTGCTCGTTTGCTTTTTAGGTTAAAGTGAAATTTCATTAGAGCTGGTGTTGGTGATTATGGAAATGAGCACGTGGCACCTCCAGTTGCGTGAAACAGTGGAGCACAGTTATCAGACTGCCTGGAATTTGACCGCCCTTCTTTTCCAACCCAGTAGGACTTTTTGTCGAAGCCACTCAAGAATGTGTTGTGTAAACGTAACCATATGTAACTAGCTAATACGTCGTACTTAAACAAAAAGCGTTAAAGTATGTGATGGTGAACTTGTATTGGAACTATTTATCATCTTTTCTTCTGCAGGGCTTCCAATCCAGGGGTACAAGAGGTTATGATACATCTTGGTTTTGGAAAGGATTATCGACGTCTGCAAACATATTACACGGAACAGGTTATAAACCTGGTCCACAAGATTACCGAGGGCCATAAAACAGTAGTACCTGTCGTTTGGCAAGAGGTATTTGATCAGGGACTTCGGGTGAGTTTTACAGTAATTCCGCAAATTTGTTTTTTTTTTAGCTTTCATTCACTGTGCATGCAAAGGGGCACCCATTTCACATAGATTCATGTGTAGCCAATATGTGCAACCTACATATGTGAACAGCGAAAGACTAATGTAAAAACACTGAGTGTACTGTCTTGTTTTCAGCATTTACATAACAACCGGGTTCAACAATGAACTGTAACGAACAGCTGAGCGAACAGACTAGACTGGTACCTAATCCAGTTTTACTATCATTCACATTTGGCAAATAAACTCAAAATGTGACGCTACTCATTCTTACTGGTTTCTCAAAATATCACAGATGTTGCCAAATCAGTTTTCATAGGACTCAGAAGTCATGCATAATTCATTGCCACTATTAGTGAGTGAGGGGTTTATCGAGTACACAAAGATGAAGAAAGGCCGGTTGAACTGGACGGAGTTGGCTGTTGAACCCAATGATGATGCTTTCTGCCGTAATTGATAGGCGACACCTGGCAAACTTAAATTTGGCATAGATTATATCTTGAGTAATGTGTTATTCTTGTCTTTCTGACGGCAGTATGTCTGAATATTGGTAGCTTTGGTGGGTTAGTCGTATTTGACCAACTTGCGTTTGATCTCTTATCGGACTTTTGCAATGGGCTTGCAAACATCTCGTCACCATGTGAGGAGACGCCGATTGTACGTGCACCAAGTGTGACGGGAGATGAGTGTGTCTACATCCACGTCTAGACAATTGTGGTGCGTATCGGCCTGAGTGAATTGCTTAAATAAGCAAGCAAATGAGCTGACACCAAAATGCTGTGCAAACGGTAGTTGTTTGTTCTCCATGCGTAGACGGATCAACGAAATTAATGAGAAGGTAACAATCGAACTTGCCAAGTAGAAAAGCTCAGACAATATTCCTGAGTAAAAGGCGATTGTTTAGTTAGGCAGAGTTGGCCACTGTAAAGTTAGAACCGGGATGCCTAGAAGTTATTAACTTCTCCCTTGATTTCGTAGCATGTTGTTGAACAATGCTGTACAAACACAAAGCCTACCTTCACAAAATCTTTTTACTAGTTTTCAGCTATGTTTGCGATGAAATGGCAAAGTAATTGGCATAAATTATCATTCAACAATTATTTTGGAAAATATGATTCACAGCAAAATGTAGTCGTTGGACTACATTTCTTTCAACCAGTATTGTCCTTGTGACACAGTGCAATGTGACGGCTACCAATACACATTTACCATTTGCTTCGATTTTCAGACACACAAAGACACCATTATTCAAGTTTGGAAAGATGGCTGGAAGGCGGAGATGAACAATGTCACAGCAGCAGGATACTCGGTGTTGCTTTCTAGCTGCTGGTACTTGGATTACATTTCCTATGGGAGCGATTGGTACAAGTATTACGATTGTGATCCAACAGATTTCGGAGGTGAGTTTTTGGAATAAGGGTTTGCTGGATCCCCGTTGTCATTTCCTGTCTGACACTGATCTACTGTTTTCTCGATCGCTCGCTACAAGGTTCTCCCAAACAAATTGCCCGTGTTCAGGGAGGAGAAGCCTGTCTTTGGGGAGAGCATGTGGATGAAACAAACCTCTTTAGCCGAGCTTGGTGAGTCGAAAAATCTTTAAAATTTCGGGATTAGACACCTTGTAGAGGTTTGTCGTAAATTTGTCTTGGATATAGGTAGCACATATTTTTATACCTTAACGATTATGTGTTTTATCCTTGATAGCTTTTGCAAATTCTACGGGAGCGCGAAATTGCTCGCTCATAGTCAGTGAAAAAAGCAGATTGTTTTTACACGAAAGAAGATATTCTATTTTATTTTGCCTCAGTCCATAGCTGTTGCCCTTTTTAAATGCCCAAAGTCGGATTAGATGCATGCGTTTCATGCTCTGAGTGTACATGTCTGTATTCGCCAAGTTGTGTGGGTAAAGTTTCGCATTCTACTTGAACAGACTTAATTTTCACTCGATTTTTCGTTGAGGGGCAAATATTCGTGTAAATCTAAGCAGCCTGAAGGCCTCAAGCAAAGACAGGCCGCAATAACCATCTGATTTTGTGCACAGTTAGTTCGCTGGCTTTCGAGCGAATGTTTTACGAATTCATCTACGACAACACAGATCACATGCTTTTGTCCGTTTAAGATGGCTGGACGATCACTCAACGTTTGAGGATGTGTTCCTAAAGTCAAAAGTTTAATGATATCACTGAATCAGATGTTTGATGCAAGGAACGAGGTAGTAACAGAGATTAGTGAAGTAACCAAATACAGGAGTGTCGTTTTATACGTAAAAAAAACTGGCCGCTTCATCAAAGAAAACTGACTTCTCTTAGGGGCAATAGTGTTCGATTATGTACAGTATAACCAAATAAGGGAGGTTGTTTTATACGTAAAAAAACTGGCCGCTTCATCAAAGAAAACTGACTTCTCTTAGGGGCAATAGTGTTCGATTATGTACAGTAACAATCCACAAGACAGGGCTTAAGTAAAATTATATACATTTATTTGAAGAGTAGGCTGTTGTGAAAAAGGTCTTCAAAAATATATCGGGTCTGAGAGATTTTACGTGATTTTAAATGTACGCTTGAATAGAAATTACGAAAGAACACAGAAGTAAGTAGTTGGCACAACACAATACGCAATGCAGTCACGCGCGGAAAATGAGACGATAAACTTGGATAAGATACTATTACGGTTGCTTACGGTTTGAGCATCTGGGATCTCGTTCCTGGTTAGCGAAATGACCAACTCACGCAGATTTCAAAGAAAAAGGGTTCATGTCTGAATTTGTAAAATTAATTCATTGTCACAAAAAGACCCGTCCGAACCGGATGCAATACTGAGAAGAATTTATTCCACAGCTCATCCCTGAATGCATTCATGAGAATAAATTAACAATATACAGACTAGCCAACAAAATCCTGCGAAAACTGGATCAGTACCGGGACTTGCATTGAATACACCCACGGGAATACGAAAAACAAGCTTTGACTGACCTGATTCATTCAGTTGGAGAGAAAAAAGTAGGGAACTTTTCGTCGTTTGAGTCTCAGCTAAATGGACTTGTCCAAAAGAAGGGAGAATAACTATGCTTTTGAAACTGTCAAGACGCATGGATTTTGCGGGATTTTACCGCACGGGACCAACTTGGGATCAATCTGGGGATGTTTTCAAGATAAGAATAATGGAACGGGCATGGCCAGTTAGGAATCTGCAAATAACTTGTGGCATCGCTTAGTACATCTGACTTTTCCCCCGCGATTCGGATTGCCTCATAAGTTCATTTTTACGGTCTGCTCGAGAGGACACACTGACGAGAAAATCTCATGATCAGTGCAGAAAAGTTTCAGTTTACATTTAAAGCCTAGAAGAGGCAGAGTCAATTTTAAAATGTTCCATTTATGAGAAAAAGATGGTGGCTGTATAATGGGACCCAATGTACACTTTGTGACAAAGGCCACTCTGGACTGACATATCTCAGTAACCCTACATCTTTCCTCCAAAGGCCTCGGGGTGTGCCTGTAGCGGAGCGCCTCTGGTCAACAGGTACTCTTTCCAAAGGAGAATTTGCGCATAGGTTGGATGATCTTCGCTGCCAGATGGTCAAGTGAGTAAAAGTCTTACTGTTCACACAACTATTTGCATTGTGCAAGAAGAGAATATGTAAAATCTGGGGTCTGTAAGTTACACTACTTCTACTCATGATTCCATAAGTATATCCCGGTTTTTTATCCCGCCTAAAATATATGTACTCATTCGTTAGGTAATTCTTAAGTACTTTTGAACGAGTCAGAGTCTCCAGAAAGCCGTCATAAAATTGAGTACAGATCCTTTTTTTCTGAGAACACATCCCTAAAGTGTCTTTGCGTAACCCGACGGAAAAGCATTTTCATGCGAACTTTTGTACTTGAAGGAAAGTCCAAAAAGGCCCCACGAACCAGGTGCTCAAGTGGCCTGAATATCAGATTTGCGGATTTTAGTACGCCATCACATTCGTGCTGGGCGAAGTAAAAGGAAGTAGAGTCATTGAAGACTTCTCGAGTTTGACCGTGTAAAAAAATCCACAGAATCAAAGATAAATAGTATTGTTGCAGTCCAACCTACAGAAAGACGGATGAAACTCTTTGTGAACTGTGCAGTAACGTATCTAACATAGTCATGACACAATAAATTTCCTCCGTTCATTTTTCAGTCGTGGATGGCCAGCGGAGCCGGCGAATGGACCCGGATTTTGTCCTTTCTAATTCTTTTGTTTAGATGCTTTGGTGGTGATAAAAACGATTTATGTGGCCATTGATTTAAAGACAGTAAATATTTTTGCATAAAAAAGACTTCCTTTTGCGGAATAAAACAATAACATGTGCGGCTTGATAGTAAGTATTCCCAACTGTATGTTAAAGAACAACACATTATGGGTGAGCAAACCCGTGGGATTAAACCTTTCTGCGTGGCCTTCAAAATAACTTCACGGACTGTATCAGGCAATGTTTCGAAACCTTCTGTTCCGGTTAGTTAATGGCCTGACTGTATTTATTCTGAGTTTTGTTTAGTCCAGTTTAGTTAAACAACATGAGCGAGACCAGAAAATTGACCGAAGAGTAGATATAAACGACAGGCGGCATTAATTTATAGAATATACAGCCTAACTCACACTGAATCCGGGGCACATATCTCCAAGCGATGGTGAACGTACCATAAGTGAAGAACGGTGCAGTCATCCATCAACAACGCACCATAAACGATCAGTCAAATGAAAATTCTCAGTTGAGCACATTAATAAAACCCACGATCGCCCAACCACCGGAGCCGGTGAATCTAACCAAGAATAACATAAGACTGAAACTAAGTTGAGTGATCGCTTGTTCCTTGAGTTACCAAATATTTGGTCATAGAAATTAAGGGAGATTTTGTGTACGCTTGAGACGCTTCAACAAAGACAGTAAACTTAATATAGGCAGGGATATTTGAACGTAAAACGCAATATTCCGCACAGTATGGGTGAGAAAAGTCCGGCCTCCGGGTGTGGTTTTCCGTTTGAATAATAAAAAAAGCAACCCGAAAGTGGAACGTCAGTTTTTACCCCCAAATCATTAACCACTCCTTTCAATAGCAAGTAATTCATCAAAATGTAATTGCATCTACCAGTTGGAAATGCAGCACAATTCAGGAAAACTTGCCGTTCCTCCACAAACTACTTGAACAAATCGATCAACCATTTGAGCAGACAATCCGAAGTGAATGCTGGAATACATTAACATATCCTATACACAGTCATGTGAAAAAGACAGGACTTACTGCGTGAAATACAGAAAAATATCGTGTTACCTTTGGCTGGAGTCCCACTTCTTGTCTCTTCAAACACCCTGGCAACTCTGGCTGCCAGTTTCAAACTTCTATAGCCTTTAGAATTGTTTTTAAATAGCTGGCACTTAAGTCGACCCTTTGTTCACAAAAGGATGTCAGACAGACGTTTTGCACACCATTATCCACCAGACTGTACATTTTTTTTCCATTTCAGATGAAAGCCGAATTACGAGTTTTTAGTAACAACACTTAAGTTTCAACAAATAAACTCATTTGCATATCCATTTGGTTTTTACGAGAGATTCAACTGAACATGTCGTTTATGATATTCTTCAACTGAATGTGCGACACAAAGCCGCCTCCTATTTCACTTGGCACGATATTAGAGATATTGCAGTATATCTTCATAGAGGAAACTACTCATGAGGTTAATGAAAACTCTTTGACAGCCTACGACCGGTTTTGCCATCAGGTAGATACAGTTTCCCGGTCTCCGTCAAACTTATGTTCTACTTGAATCCAAAATGGACCGATTTTGACTGTGCTGCACAAAGGCCGCCGCATGTTTCACTTGGTACTCCAATCTGTCCTGTGTGTAGTAGGCTCGGAAACCTATGAGTTTCATCTAAGTGGTTTGTTTACCTTGACGACATCCATTCGGCGAACCTGGCTTGTCTGCTCTTGAGGCGCTTATTGTCGTCCCCTAGGTGATTATCCCCCGTCTTGAACTTACAGTTTTTTTCACTTTGGCTTACGACTCCATTTAAAGCTGAAATCGTACGTTTTTACCAAAGTGGTAGCAGGTTTGTCCGTATATCGTTCTATCCGATACCGTTGTGGCTTTCTGTCCTATATAAATGAAACAAAACCAGGTGAAAAATTCCTAGACGTGAAAGACCTTGGAACCAATGTTGCTCCCTCGAATATAGTCTACTTCTCCTTAGCAGCTTGATACCGAATTTTCATTACGTTACACCTGTGATGGTGCTGGAATAGGCATTCTGACTGTCAAAATTTGGGCCACTCTATCATACACACCACCATACACCACTCTATCTACACAGTCCCAAGTTGGATGTGGCTTGCGAGCTCTTTTGCCGGTAACCGCTCACGGCTTATCGTTTACCCACCAATATCCCTCCAGTTCGCTAAGGCCTGCTTGAAAGGCAATCGGGCAGGGATATATCCCATGCAATGACTCACCGGCAAGGTCTTTATTGATCAGTGAAATCAGTTTAGTTCTACGCTGCTGAACAGCACTGTGGTCTTCTTCCGAAAATTACCTCACCTTACTTACTTACCTTACCTTACTTTTGCGGGATATCACTTCATGAATGATGCAGACGAAGCCTTATTAGGGTGGACCGCACAGTCTTGTGCAAAATGTTTCCACAAAATAGTTCCCCTCCTTCCAATGCGTCAGTGATTTTAAGGGAACACGGCAAAAGTTCTGTTCAGACACAACGCACCATGCGGTTCTTTTGATAGCAACCACATGTCAAGATCCAAGCCTCTTTCCCCCGCAGTATTCCAACTTTGACTTGTAGAAAAAGCAAAGGTAATGCCTTGGTTTGATATAGCGAACGGATACCAGTTCACTAATGTAATATAATGATTATGGTCATTCAAAAGTGCCAAAAATCCGCATAATCCAACATATGTTTATACACCGGAAACCCTTCACTGTTTCGCACTTTGCTGGAAACATGAAAAACCAATGTTCTCTTTCTGCATTTCAAGATAAAGATCGTGCAACCAAAGGTCCTGAAACGTTGAGCACTTGAGTACTTGTTTTTTTGTTGTATTACAAAACTGGTTGAACCTCGTTCACTAGTTTCAATTCCATTTATTCAAAAGGCCTCTGACAAAACCCAGCTTGGTGTCTATCTGGCATATAGGCGAATCTGCGGTCCTGACTGTGTTTGATTCAGTGAAGAAAGCCATGGAAGCCATACGAATAACGGAAGTGTCGAACAAATTTATATAGTCCAAGGGTTACGTAAAAATCACATGTATCTACTCCTCAAAGAAAGGAAAGGGAGTCGATGGGATGAGTGACACACCGGTCAGTGGGTCATGGAAGTGTGTGACATCGAAGGCGTGCACTTTGTCGATGACATGACTGGTTTCGGCCAAATGTGACGCACGTGCGCTCGAGCTTGATTACTTGTCATCATCACTCAGAGACACAGGATTGTGTCCTCTTATTCTGCCGTATAGTTAATGTACGATGCTCTGGACGAGGGTACGAGCGAGTACACGCAAAAGGTAGGGCTAGACTTCGACCAATCGTACTTCAAACGGAACTTGATATTGGGACTACAACTGGAACCCAGGCCCAGAGTAGTTTTATCTGCAGAATACCCAAGCCTTCTGATAACTAGTTCATAAATTGAGACACCTCCGAATGGGAACCTTATGTAGGCGGGCTTTTTCCCAAGTTGGAGTTGTTTGGTCCTGTGCCTTATAAATAACAGCTTTGAATAGGAATATCTCACCATCCCAGCCAGCCCCTTCTTCCTCCTTAACTATTATGCCGCGGGTGATTTACACGTAATTTTTGCACTTAGTTACTGTTATCTTACAAATCTGTGATGTGTTCGCCAGGAACACTAGTCATCGAAAATACGCCCACTGTCGAATATTCTGTCAGTAGTCAGCGGACCTAGAGGATTTTAACTTGCTCGTTCACACTGAACAGCTAAGATTCACAGGTCTATTGCAGCAATCAAAGACGGATATGGTAAATCTCCTTTGTTTCAAGGTATTGAAGGTTATATGTATGATAGAGCGACACCAAGCGGAATCGATATTCGAAAAAAACTACCGCGCTAACTGATCACGAATGCCAGTAAGATCAAATACATTTTTCAGACCCTCAATGGCCCTTACCTGTTCAGATTTGCTGTACTGCTCCCCTTGGAGCCATCCATCACTCTGTTATAAACGGTAGCCTGGTGTGTCAAACTACCCCTATCTAGCTTACCATTACCCAGGAACTTGATGATCAAACAGGAATGACTGCACATGAGAGAATGCAACACCTATGAAAATGGTCACTATGAGATACTGTCAGTTGATTACAAGTACGTGACCATTCGGTACTTTGGTCAATAAATGAATGTCAATAGTTTTTAAACAACGATGCACGCGAACATCCGCAACGCAGTAAACAAGCACGGTGCGGATACCTCACATATGTGATCTACAGATTCCAATTCTCGGTTGCGTAGACACTGGTTGCTGGCTATAGGCCATCAGGTAATACTGTGTATAAATTGATTAGCACGCTTAAACAACATAACTATCAAGTTCACAGGATGTGGATACGCTGCTTTATCACGACATGTGTACTCTGTTCTGTCAATTGTTTGGTCCCAAAACCGGAACGGCAAACTTTAGGAGAAGAAACGTACGCGGTCGACGACAGAATAGATGTTCAGCATTCCTATCCTGATTGCCTAATTTTGGACGACGCGTGGGAACGATTTTCTGGGCGATTGCTTGATAGACAGTTACCCGTCGATGAGGAGAGCCATCCGGTGGCTACAATCAAACATGTGAAGATTACAATGCTTTCTGGCTGCAATGAAAAGAAAAAAGTCCTGTGGCCAACCAGTGGCGCAAATGAGTCATGTAAGTACTATGCTTTCCACATGGCTATTCGGACGCAATAAAGACGCTGTTTGTATCAGTAATGATACCATTTCAATCAAGTCGGAAGAGATCTGGGGCACTTTACACGCTCTGGAAACTGTCGCCCAACTGATTCGAAGAAACCAAGATGGCTTGGTCTGTATTGTTAAGAACTAATCCAGATCCTTTGCAAAATAGCGCGTTATCAGGGGTCAAGTAATCAGTGACAAGCCCCGATTCGGGTTTCGCGGTTTTCTCATCGATACATCAAGGCATTATTTGCCGTTACTGACTATTTTTCAGTTTCTAGTATGTTGTTTCATCCACCGTTAACCAAATTGCTCCTCGTAGGACGCCATGGCGATGGTAAAAATGAATGTTCTTCACTGGCACGTTGTTGATGATCAGTCGTTTCCCTTTGTATCACACCGGTTCCCTAGTTTATCAGGCAAGGTAAATCATCGTTGTTCCCGAGTCGATCCTGTCTATATCAGGGCTCCTTTGATCCGGTACATTATGTGTACAGCAGAGATGATGTCAATCAGATACTGGACTATGCCAGGAGACGTGGAATCCGTGTGATGCCGGAGTTTGATACACCAGGTGAGTGATTTATTCGCGATGTCGTTTAGCATTATTTAAAGACTAATGTGCAACAGTTGGAGGTATTTAGAGGCCGAAATTCCCACATACTGCAAAAAGAAGGCATGACTATTCATATTCGTTTGGAATTTGATGAAATCCAGGACTGTAGTAGATAGTCCCACTGGAAAAATAGATATTCAAGCCACTGTGCTTTCGTTTTGCGTCCGAAAACAATTAGAGAAATTTGATCTCAGTGCGCGACGTTCAGTGAAACCATGGAACTGTCTGTCTTGATAAAAGACTGTCTCAGTCATCACCTTGATGACTGAGTTCATGTGATCTACGTGTTTCTGTACTGTTCGCGCACTTGAAATTAATTGGGTAAAACTCTTTAACTACACTACTGAATACTGATTTTCTTCGACGGATCTGCTTTTGAAGTTAAAATATTCGCATGGTCTAGGAATTCATGAGGAATTCATTCGTAGTTTAGCAGGCCACCGATATGTTATTCCAGCGAAGTGTTACCCATGTACTTTCCGTGATTTATTGGGGTCAAAACCTGAAACAAAGGAGTGTACAACAATCTGAGGCGAAAAAAAAACAGTTTTGTGTTGGGTAAGAATCTCAACGAGACCTTCGGTCGACTGATTCAACTAAATGGACTTTGGTAAGTAAGCAGGTTATTTAGTTTCGTCTATCCCCGCAAATGACAAGATAATCTCTATTGAAAGTTAACGAAACTGCTCACACCATTATCAGTCTGTAAATAGACCAGAGGAATAATAACTTCATAAGATGAGCGAAACTAGCTTCCGCGATGTGGCATTCGTGGGGACAGTCAACACGTGATCATGTGACTGAAGGATGACTGGCGTTAAATGAGAGCTAATCACACTGCTAGTCAACCGCTAGTGGCCAAACGGTTAGTTGTCCAATCACTGGAATGTCACGGGTCTGAAACTTTCTGAATTTCGTGAGATGCGCAGTACCGATGATTCCCGTTAAAAATCAAAGAGCTGCACACACTGTTCGGCCTTTTAACACACGCCAGCTTCACTTTCAGTTGATAACAAGGCTTTTTGCACAAAACTTAACCAAACATTTTTAATGGAACTGAGAGTGTGATCCAGAAAAGCTCATTCATACAAAGGATTGCACATGTGTAGCTTTGATTATCGGCTTGGATCCCGTGGCATCAAGGACGCATTCTCTTCGTAATGCAGTGAAAGGGAACTAAGTTTGGTCCTTGGTTTAGGAAGCTGCTTATTTACTTGGACAAGTTTAAAGCTGATGGACAGGTAGCCTCAAAGCAGACAATGACTCCAGCTTTGTGCGCAAGTCGAAACGCATAGGACAACCAATGTCTTTTCACTATTACTTTGTCGAGAAACGTGTGAGGATCGGTCATAAATCAGCGAGCGTTTCGTCCTCAAGTGGAAGGATAAGATCTTACATGAGTTGTCTCCTCTTAGGGTAATCACTTGGAGAGAACTACCTATCCTCCGCGATGTAACATCTACTTCAAAACATCGAAAATATAATCTATCCTGGAGGCCTTCGTCTTCCGATGACCGATCTACTCAAGATTGTACTGATCGCTGGCCCGTGGAAATCCTGTTTGGAGTTTTGTTAATGAGTAACGTTCAGGAAACGATGCTCTAAAACTATAAAACATCTGCTGAAGTGGCAAGGATGTGCAATTAAAAACAATCGGAAATCCAAATTTGATAAAACGGGTGAAAGGTTTATTTTCAACTGAATGCATTCAAAAAATCTCCCTTGCCTATAGCGCATTTCGGGTTAGTTCACAGTCGAAAACGAAAACACCTATCGGTTTCTCTTCAAATGTGACTGGCGTTATGAAATTAAAACCAAACTTAATTAAGCAATCGAATGAGACCATAGCAATGATCAACTCTGTTGGACTTATTTTTTTCAAACGAAATATTATATATGAGACGACGTGGTTGGGATTATCTATAAATTTCACCTAATATTACAGGCCATACAAAATCCTGGGGTTTAGGCTACCCAAAACTGCTGACCCCGTGCTATTCGGGTGGATCTCCCGACGGTCAGCGCGGACCAATACATCCAGCACAACTCTATTCTTACAAGTTTTTAATTCACCTGTTCGAAGAAATCTCAACTGTTTTCCCGGAACAGTTGGTTCATCTCGGTGGAGACGAAGTGCCTTACGACTGTTGGTAAGTTCAATAAACGGTGATAAACCGGTAAGCACGTGATTTTTGTCTTTTACCCAGGTCATACTGGTGATAGCAGTCCAAAATAAGAATGGAAAAATGAGTAGAATACCTTTGGTGTGTCAACATTTTTCTCATCTGTGTTGGCTCATGTCCTGCCTGTGGCTTGTTTTTGTTCAGCCTATGCCTTCTAGTTTTATACTCTCTTATTACTTTTAACTGTCTTTCATGTGGTTTTGAGCTTGATTTTTCTAGAGTTCTTTCGTTCCCAAAGTTTGACAGGTTGGGTCGATTCCAAAATGTTTGTTTGTAGGACCATGGTTTGAGTACCAGGCCTTCATAAATTTACGTTCCTCGCTGTTCCTACTTCGGCTAGTAAATGAAAATGATCCCGGTCTACTGTCCATTCTGATTTCCATATACGGAAATGGATGGAATGTGATCAGACTTCTTAGCGGCAAGATAATATTCGTGTATTCTGGTAGATAGCTTCTTTATTATTTATCTCAGGCAGTAATTGCCCAATCCTCGCATTGAAGTTTGCATCTGACATTAGCTAACCCTTTGCAAGGTAATGAGAATCCGTTAAAAACATCGCGAAAGACGACCGTCAACTGATGCAAACTCGAAAGGCGTTGCAATGCAGCGTAAGCCCTCAGTGTGATCTGTGTTCATTCGATACTTCGCTCCTGTGTATCTATACAAGCTAGTGCAGTGCAATCACCCATAATACAGGGACCAACTCTTCAGTCTTCTCATGATCATTCGAAGTACGACTGAAGAAACTTGGATCACCTGGTTCAGATCTATTCAAGCCATTCATCAGGTTGGTGCAGATACTGTTCACGATACTGTTCTGGTTGTGACTGGGAACAATATATCTCACGGCGGAAACCCGCCAAAACCAGGGGTTCTCTTGGTCAATAAGTTTGTCAGTGTGCCTAGAAAAAATAACGTACGTACGCATTGTCGGAATGCTTCTCAAGGGGTTGGCCATCTGACACTAACGCCAAATTCCTGTGAGCGCCGTGAGCGCAGAGAATTGGAAGTGAAATGTAAAATAACGTTACTTCTTACGTAAAAGTCCGAATTCGTTTGATAATAATGGGCGTTCCCAATTTTACTCACAAGGTCGATGGAAACCCTGGGCAGATACCCAACGGTCTTGTTATTCTCGGAACTTGTCGGAGAGGCACGGTCCTTCAAATCGCCGACAGCCCTCTCTCCGACGTGAACACAAACTCAGACACCCATTCGCAAATAAGGTTGCAGTTGACGAGAAACACCAACGGAGTTTCCCTGAGTGACCCATTTATCATATTTATTCAGGTTAGTGTGCTGCACAAAGGCTGCCTCCTTTCGAACAATGTTCAAGATATCAATTATGTTCCGATGCTACTCGCGAATTCAAGGAAAACTCGGCAAATCTCCCCATGGGTTTTGCAATTTTTTACGACCCACCCGAAGGTTTTATCGACCTTTTGGGTATTGTTGAAACATACTTCGAAATTTCGAGTACTGGTTCAACCGAAAAACGAGAAGGCTTTTGTGCAGTGCATTTAAGAAAAGCATATTTTGGACGAAAGAATCAAGTCATTTTAAGCTGGGTCTCACGTCAACGTCAACACCAAACGAGTGCTTATCGCAATTCATGTGGATTGTTTACTGGCTTGAACTGACTCGTGCACGTCAGCCATTTATTACCAGGGACCAGAGGATGTCATTCGTTTTGAAAATGGTAATATTTTAGGGAGGGGCTATATTTCCTTCGTACTGTCGTCAGTTTGTAGAAGCGTGCTGAATGATGCCCGGGTCGAAAAGTGTTTAGTGAATTCTGCATTCTACACTTGTCAACTCCCGTTCTTCTCGTTGTATTCAGTAACTCTTCCATCTGGTGGGGAAGGGAAAGTCTCCGGATTTTGTCAGCCTGCCTCAAGAGTTACACGGAAGAGGAAACAAGACGAATGAACACACCATCTTAGATACACTTCACAAAAGTCCATCTGCTTGTTCTAATCGAGGATCTAAAATAGAGTGTATCTTGAAAACGGATCCTCAGCAGAGCGAACTTTTTGTTATGAGGAATTTGACCAAACAACGTCATAAGTAGATAACTGATTAATGCTATAAAAATAGTCATTTCTGTTCCCTTTCTGCTCAGGGCTTCAAATCCGGATATTCAGAAATTCATGGAACAGATGCATTTTGGCAAAAACTACAGTCTCCTACAAACTTACTACATGGAACAGATCATATCACTGATCAAAAAGATTAATCAACAGAAAACAGCGGTTGTGCCAGTTGTTTGGCAAGAGGTGTTTGATCAAGGGCTCCGGGTGAGTGAGTTATCCCCCACTTTCGTAGTCCAAACTGTCTCATATGTTACTAGGTAACTAGCCGATGGTTTGCACTATCGCGTGACCTTCAGCAGAAATTCAGTCAACGGACCCGGTGTTACTGTTGGTAGTGTGAGGGGATTTGGGATTTTTGTGAAGATTTCGTCCTGCAAGTGAAGCCAATCTATGCTGAAAAGCCGAGAAGCACTGTACAGCTGTTTCATCCTTATTGGGAATCATCAGCAGTGCGCATCTCACGAAACTCCAAAGTCTCGAACCCGCGACCTCCCGGCTAGTAGTTTGAACACGTAACCGTTCGGTCACGAGTGGCTGATCAGCAGTGTGATTAACTAGCACTTAGACGGGATATAGCGCCAGTCAACACGTGTGACCGCGTGATGTGGATCCCGTGATTGAAGGATGACCGGTGTTACTGTTCCGTGTTTGTACGGCAACTGTGATAACTTTGAAATATGTAGGTTGGTCTTAGAGTTGGGAAACTCATGCCAAATTGAGCATCCTTTAGTAAAAGCGGCGAATCTGATAAGGAGTTCTTCATCACTGCCTCAATGCCCTTAGTGGTGTTTTTGATAATTCGATTTCCACCCACCAAATATTGAATGTGTAAACACTCGTGCGACCAATTTCTAAACCGCTCACACAGAACTGAAGTCGTCATCTGATTTTGATCCGCCTTCTACGCAGATTTAAATGCAAAAAACACGTCTCACTTCAAGTACTCGTAAGTGGGAATACACTTCTTTCATTTGCAGCTTGAAACCTCTACTTGTCAGTTTGTTCTCTAAAATACCACACGTAGTTCCGGCGAACAACGACTGTACGGAACAAACACAACAAGCTCACGCATTCATGTGGTATCCTGATCGTCTACTTTACTCTTCAGACCCACAATGACACACTCATTCACGTGTGGAAGGGCGACTGGCAGTCCGAGGTCAAAAGGATCACAAGTGCAGGCTTCCCAGTGTTAGTATCGAGTTGCTGGTATCTGAGTCGTATATCTTATGGGGTCGACTGGCACCAATATTATCAATGTGATCCGACCGATTTTGGAGGTGAGATTTGACACTTACTTCTGTTCAGTTTCTTGTTTTCTTAAGGCGGTGTGATAATCCCTTTGAGGGAGGCCACTATGGGGAATGGACGTTTTCGCCCTTCCTGAGGTGAGTACATGCACTAGAACGTGGGGTGGCGTTAAGGAGTAAAGGCCTCTGTTCGAGTCAATCTCCCTTGCGGGTAATTAAGGCCTACAATGGTTGTTTACACCAGTTCTTTTCGGTTTGCATCCCAGCACTTAATATTATGTTGTCTATTGTCAGGTAATCCTGAAGAGGTTGCGCGCATTCAAGGCGGAGAGGCGTGCATGTGGGGAGAATATGTGGACGAAACGAACATATTTAGTCGGAGTTGGTAAGTTCAAAAACAATTAAAATGCGCAAACATGTGTGCTTGAATGTCTAGAACAACCTGGTCCTTGAACCAATTAATGTGCTGTAAGCGGAGTCGAACTGGGAAGCTACGAGATACATCCCAGCTCCTTTCCTTAGTAGGATGCAACACAGAATCGCCAGTGAAAGCCCCAGACATCCCGGTTTTCAAGGCAGCAATGGAATTTTCTAGAAAGAACACCTATATCTTGTCTTAAGATTAGTGAATTTTAGGCATGATCACGCATACGACCACCAGTGCCTCCGAACCGTGAGCGACGTAGACCAGCATCTGTGATATCGTAACCAGTTGAGAACATAAGCTGAAAGTATTTCCCCCCTGATGAACTGAAACGCCGCAAGCACAACAGCACCAGAATTCGGCCCAGTCTCACCTAGGATGCTAATAAGTGTATGGTGGGTACACTTAACCTGTTCAAGCGGCTGTCACTTCGAAATCAGCGAACAGAACAAGCACGATTAATACTTTGACGGAGATTTCGTCCTGTGAGTGAAGCCAATCTACGCTGAAAAGCCGGTCCTGTGAGGAAGCCAATCTACGCTGAAAAGCCGATAAGCATTGTACATCTGTCTCATCTTTATTGAGGATCATCAATAATTCGAAACCCACGAGAATCTAAGGAGTTCCGAACACGTGACCTCCCGGTTAGTAGTCTGAACATTTAACGATCTGGCCGCTGGCGGTTGAGTGCGATCCGTACTTAGACAGATCATGGTGTGTTCCTTGTACAACGAATGAAATAAAAAAAAATAAGGCTTCATTGCTGTTTGTGACTACTTCGAAAATTCTCTATTCTGAATCACTCGCACTATCAATACAGTATGCACGGAGTGCTCAGTTTCTGTTGTCAAGGCAGTACCTAGTGCAGGTGCCTTAAACCTTGTCAGTCAACCAGTTTTGCATTGTGTAAAGTGTTTATTACAGCAACCACTGTTTAAACATCGGGAAAGCAACAGAGAATAAAGTATGGGGGCTGTAGCCGTAATCATGGGGGAGGATGATGTCCTAACAATTTCTCAAACATTTCTACGTGTCATTTTCGCACTCAAGTTCCCAGAAACTCTTACCACTAGAATCGCAATCAGCGAAAACAAGTACCGTTTTTATTATTTATCTACTACTATCAACTCGTCAGTACTATGTTATTACTGTGATCCCTTCAACCTACTATTGTCGGCTCTATGAGTCTGAATGGTTGTCAGTAGTGCTCGTGTTAACGGATGCCTAAACGCGGTGGATTTTGTGTTGTTATAAAATAATCTATGTGAAAAACCGAACAAGTGGAACTATCGACTTTACAAGTTGTCATCCAATTTCTAACCAAACACTGACGCTGAAGACATGTCCATCTACGAAGAAATAAACTGACGAATTAACCGCATTTGACATTGAGCCCAGTCTCAGAAGTCTCATTTTCATTGTGCTCACTTCGAGTGCGCTAATCCGGATGAATAAACCGTTATCTATGATTCGGGTCCGACAAGCACGAGCAGCATCACAGTGCAAAAGAACGGCGACCTTGACGCTAAACCATTCAGTTTTCCAGCAACCTGTACATTCGCTAGCTTTAGCATTAACGCAAGGACCTGATGCAGCATATTTGGGTGGCGTAGGTGGCCATGTTGTGTAGACCTGTGTTGTTACCTTATAAAAGGATACAGCTACAACAAATGGGCGACTGACAAAGAATCTCAAGTTGACCGAAGTTAGATTTGGAACGGGCGCACCAGGGTTTGAGATCTGTTATTTATTTCATTGGACCGCATTGTGAGGCGGGCTGTGTAATGCCACTCTACAGCAGGACCCCACGTTTCAGTGCACCACTGAGACAGATATTGCAGTGACGCGATAATAGACGAATTGATCAACGAGCTCAATAAGACAGCGATTAGATGAGATTCATTCGTAATTCCCATTGAAGCTCGGGTGAAATAAAGATGAATTTTGTTTTTAGAGGCCAAATGATGACATTTTGATGCGATATGACCGTGGTGCTCGGGCAAAAGACGTGACCAGGTTTCTCATCCAGTTAGCGAAAGTCTGTATCCACATGTGTACTTCACGTGAAGCTCACTCACTACAAGTGCACACAGAAAAACAAAATGCATGCACTGCAGAAGTGAGCTTCGGTTCGAGATGATTTTGTCATTGTTTGTTATTTTGAATACTCAGTCTAACTTGTCAAATTTGTTTGAAATTTGCATTTCTCTGTCAGGCCTCGTGGAGTGGCTGTAGCTGAACGGCTCTGGTCCCATGGAAAGCTATCAGCGGTGGAATTCGCCGGAAGATTGAACGATATTCGTTGCCAAATGGTTCAGTGAGTACTAATCACATGGCCCCACTATGACAGATTAATAACTTTCGGGTAAATATGTTTTACGAATCAGAACTGATAGTAGGTAAACACAGCCTAGTCAACAGTCACCCACGGTTGGTCGATCTAGGAGGAGCAAACTTTTGTCACATTCCTAATACTGCTGAGGAACATCATTTTTATCCCTTTATAACACCGCATACCTCGAGTAGTTATTCCATCAAGGAGAAATCACGAGGAACTTTCTGTTACGAACCCAGGTAAGTTGCTCTGGCATGTGTTACAATCTAAAATGGAGGAATACAGCTACAAAATTGGTGAAATTTAACGGTGAAATTCCACTTTGAGATTTAGGTGGAGGCAGATATGCCATTTAAGGCATCACACCATTAATAGCCTCTCTTGAACCGTGAATTATCCGCTGAATCGTCTAAGAATCTGCCAAACATACCCCTGGGCAGACAACTCAAGGTTGGGAATTTGAAGCCGAGAAGTAGTTGAATGAAATCCCGACGAGCTTGCTCGGCTGTGAGATCATGAGGAAAATCTTCCAGCCGAACAGGTTGGATAGTTTGATCATCCAGATCTCAGGAAAAACATCGCGGTGCGTAATAACGAACTAATCTGTGACATAAAGGAGTGGGGCTTCTTCCCATTTATACATTCACTCCTCAAAGAAAGGGACATGTCGTCTAGATAAGATACAGAAGGCCTGCAACTGATTCAGTACTCATAGTGCCACCGAAATTCACACATTAACTTTTCTAACGTGGTCACGAAAGATTCAATGAGTCACCTGAGACATAGGTTTATTGTTGAAAATGCTAGAAATTGTTCAAGTGTTTTATAAGACAAACCTTGTGCTCGCTTATTGGTTCTGACTGAGGTGAAACAAATCCGAAGGCATACCTCCTCGACAAACCGACATTTATAGACAAAACGGCCATTTTGTAACAATTATTCACGTGTCGGTAAGGTGGAATAATGCAACACAAAATGTTCAGATACGACTGGTCGGCTGTTTCCCTAAGTGGATGGAAATCAGCTGATGCACTGATACCTTGTGATTCAGTCCTGCTCGTTTGTCGGATAGGTGGACCGGGAACACAATTGGATCGAGACTTGTAGCGAAAATTTCACTTACATCGTGCACAAAACTCCATGTGATGATCATAGATAGACATGCTAAGAATACATCAGTAACGACTAATCGCAATTTCCTTTTCAGTCGCGGATGGAATGCACAACCAGCAAATGGGCCAGGATTTTGTCCCATTTGAAGCTCACATGATCGCCTCAAGAAAATCCTTCCTTGATCAAATACTGGTACATACGATTTAACATTTTCAGTGTCATCCCAACAACAATAAATGATTTTGCACTTACATGCGAATGAGTTTCTACGTGTGAGAACAAAACCGAAAAATCTAAATTCCGAGTTAACCTCTTGTGTAATTGAAGGGGAAATGCACGTGACTACTGAGTAACAGGACTGTGCAGCAAGACTACGGAGAAGATAAGGTCAACAAAGGCTGAACAGTTTTCAGATTGGCCATTTCCATTGTTTCGGCGGAGCGACCTCAATCAGTGGTTCCCAGGGTTTGTATTTCAGCATACTACGAGCCAAATCGTATTCCCTTTGAGCCTGTCCGAATGGGGAATCAACAGTTAGGGGAAAAATAAGCTACGGTACTCAGATGGAAGAAATGCTGTCAATCGACTGCAGCCAACCAAAAATAGTCACCTTTCTTAACCAAGGTTAATTGTCGCAGCTGCGACAAACCTGCCACTAATAAAACCTAAGCAGTTATCTAAACTCAACCTAAGGAGTCAAGTAGGTTGGTTGTGATTTTTAGCTTCCAGTCATTCCGTTATGCAATATCTATCTGGACTTATATTTCGGGCCTATCATCTATAGCAATAAGGGTCCAAAGAAATGCAGATAACAAGAAGCAAGTTGGAGATGCTGAGGAACGTCGTCAATAATGTTGGGTGGAGAAAAATAAGCGTATTCCTATCTCAAAAATTTCAATGGGCCGTGGTGTCTCCAAGCAAAGACCACTCACGGGAAAAGAGTTAAAGTGGTCTTGGTTAGGTCAGTGGTACACATGCACTTCGCGACACACACAGGGATCTACAGTACCAAACATTATGGCCTACACACAAATACAAACCCAAAGAGAAAACTGAGGCCAGTCGTGTTTCCCGAAGCATAAGTTTAGTCCTATGTGTGATACACTCACTGTATACACAAAATTACACCGAGGGACCCATAGCGTAAGCAGACGATGGGAATTCCTGTTGGCTACCGGGTAAGGCCCGGCAAAGCGAATGCGATTGGCTCAGAAATGCGCAGTTGGTCGTTCCCTTACAATCACGGCCTAAAAAATCTATTAAAGCCATGGGCCCATCACCCATGATTGTGCAAGCCTCTATGGTGCAATTTTCTCGTTTGGTCACTCACATCCAACTGCCTACCCCTTCCCTGAGCTCTGTGAGGATGAAAAAGATGCCTTCTTTCTATATGATAACGCAAACCAATACGCGATGATGACATGAACAGTATCGACCCACAAGTTTGTGAACGATCGTCTCTATTGACGATACATCAAGTAGAAAAGTAAGTTAATATAATATACAGTGTTGCTATGCTATTGGTATACCTACTCAGTGGTGGGGAATTTCCATAGCTTGGTTGAGGAAATGTCAAAGTTTTCACGTGTCTCTTTTGCTGCCAAGGAGAGGAGGCTCTTAACCGAATGGCAATCGCCTCAGCTGTTTCGAACGTTCGTTGGAGAACAGTCTTTGGTCAGTCCTTTATTACTTGATTGGCTACCGTGGATGAGTCGATCGGGTCGAATGGCAACTCAGCTGTTTCGAACGTTCGTTGGAGAACAGTCTTTGGTCAGTCCTTTATTACTTGATTGGCTACCGTGGATGAGTCGATCGGGTCGATTCGGTGGTTTGTATCGATCAACATGTGAGGAAGGCGCTTGTCTGGCGTTTGGCTGCTCTGGTTTTCTGGAGAAGCGGTAAGTGCTCAAGCTCCAGTCAAGATGGACCTTCCCAACCCACCTATGATGACTGGACTTTGAAGGACAAACGGAAAGGTTGCTGGGGAAGATGGAGCACCTGCCGAAATATCTAATTGGGTGAAACCATAGAGGACGAAATTTTTCGCCTGATGGGCACAATCTGGGAAGTTGAAAATGCCCACAAGGGGTTCGGTGCCATAATTATACCAGTGTTCAAGAGAAGAGGAAGCCGACAGAAGACGGACAACCATCGAGGAACCAGTCATCTCAGCAGTGCAGACAAAACCTTCGCACACATCCTTCTAGAGAATACCCCTGAAGAACAATCTGGACTGCGAAGCTGACTTAGCCTTGCTTTTGCAGCGTGTTGAATGCAGTAAAAATGTCGGGAATGGAACCAACCATCATACGCCCTATTCGAGAAATTCACATAATCCCTTGACTGTGGATATTTAGGCATTCTGGGTCGCACTTCGAAAGCTCGAGGGCCCCGAGAAACTGCCAGCACTATCACATCTTTTTACCCCGGTAAGAGGACCCAAAGAGGGAACAAAATCCCCTTTCCCCGAAGTTGTGTATTGAACCTAACATCAGTGCAGAGGATCGCGGAGAAACTGCCAAAATGAGAGCAAGGGCAAATTTTTCCTCAGACAAATAATTTACAGCCTTCGAGTGAGCTTGTCTCCTAGTGTACGTATGTTGCCATTATGCTGAATATAGCTGACTGAGGACAAGAGTTTCACCTGCTGCTTCAAACAAAAACGCTTGAGGTAGTTGGTGACCTGATTAGCATCTGACCATATGGATCGCGATTTCTTAGATGGTTTATCTCGTTTCTGGAAGCGCCTGCGTCGGATCACGCGGTCATATCCGACCTCAGCTAAGTAAAAGCAGTGCCGTGATATAAAATTGATACCAATCAGTGCTAACGGCCCACGATATCCCGCCGCATCCGGAAAGTTCCCTACAAATAACCGTCTTGAATTCATGTGGTTCAAAGAACACATCGCCCCACTCTCCAGCAGATGTTGGTCAGACAGTGGCAGAAAATCCATCTTGACCAGAAAGAATGCTTCGTTGTATTCCATCCCAGCCTCAAAGAAACATGTCTTGAACTGAGGAAACTCTGTTTGAACAGAGCCAGCGGCGCGATAATGTGTTCCTGTTGGTATTAACATGTAGTGCCTCAGGAATCTGTTCCAATGTGCCAGCTATTTAATCGTACCATAGAAAAGTCCTGTATTGCCAATGAACATAGAATTGCCAGAATAACTCCCACACCCAAAGCTTGTCAACTTGTTGGTCTACCAAGTTCCGTCCCATTTCAAATGACAGCTTCATTGAAAACGTTAGAACAGTTACTGCTTGGCATTTAACAGCCGCCACTGAGCGCTTCCAGTGAAGTGCAGCAGGCGTACCAGGCGTGAAAACCTATCGCGGATGCAGTAACTTGTCACAAGCACGCAATCCTGAAGGCTTTAGATGTAACGGTAAATGCATCCAATTGAGCTTTATGGACTTTAGGAGTGCCTTCGACTCAATCGGCTGGGAACTTCCGCCTTAAAAACTTTCCGGAACGGAAAGTTCTGTCCCTCCCCCCATACAACTACTTTACCGACTGTTAGCAGCAAGTTCAGATTGGCGGAAAGTTATTGAAGACCTCTGCCGAAGGAACTGTTTTGTTTCTAAAACTATTAATTTGTTATTTTTTAATTCAATTGATTATTTACTTAATTAATTTAGTTCATTTAATTACTTTTCCAAACTTGATTAAGTGTACTTTAATGGCACATATGGACATTGTTGTTGGCAGAGCACGATTTACACTACCAGATGCCTCCTTATTCGAACAGGACACTAAAGTGCATAAAGAATGATTCAAAATGTCGCGCACAGCGAAGCCCACATAACTGCTAGCCTATCCAGCCTTGTGCACATAATTGGTCACCAGTGGCTTCGCAACTTAGTGAGAGTAACGCGATTACAACGTGTCCGTGACGAATTATTAGGTAGCAAATCAGAAACACTGGAATAGCAGATAAAGACTTCATGGTTGAATATCGTCAAACAAAGGTGGTAATCCTCATTGAAAAAACCTCTCCAGAAAAAAATTCGATGAGAAAGGGTCACGGCATGCAATGCAGAATAAATATTTAAAAAAAAACAGTCAAACGGAGTGTTGTGGGATATTCGCGCCTTCTTAGCTGGTATCAGCCTGATTCTTTGAGCACACACCTAGGAATCCTACAGTATGTGGGACGTGGCCGATATTAGTGGTGAGTAGGCTGTCGAGCTTAGCCAGACTGTTAGATTACAGCTTGTTTGCGCTGAGTTCTAGACTTGTGCTGAGTTAGACTCTTAAAGAAGGTTGGGTTTGACCAACGGATATACTACCCGCATATTACTGTTGATATTTCTGTCTTCATTAACAAGTTAAAAGCAGTAGCTGACTCAAAATACTTCACAATAACCAACTACAAAATGAATTCCAACATCTGGATCGAGAAACCAAAGGAGAAGCTGTATTGGGAGGTATGTTATCGTCCATCTCAGTGTATAGGTGAGATCGATTCTGACTAGCCAGAATGGAATATTAGATATAAATTGGATTTTTTCAAATAGTTCAAGTGTCTCGAACGTGTTCGAAACTGCGTTCTAGCTCTTGAGAGCGGTGGCTTTTCGCCATAGCCGCCCATAGGTCATGGGGTTTACGACACTCTTCCAGGGTTGAAGTCACTCTTAGGAATAACAGAGTGGTGAACTCTCTAGTAGGTAGCGGATAGCCTCTCCAGAGATTAAAATATCCTTTAGAAGGTCCACAGAGAATGCTGGC